AAAATAATTTTTTTAAGTTTAGGCCGAGAAAATCGTATTGTATACATTTCATAGCGTACATAGCTGTAAATCATATTTGAATGACATAGTTCATTTATTTTTATTCTAAACTCGGAAGATGACGTCATCAGTTTCGTGCTCTTTTTTTAGTGTAAACAATAAGTGATGTCATTGTTAAATGCGTTCTTGTCCCAAGTTTATACACTTTTCCGGTTGCATAAATAATACTGTTTCTCTACATTCGAATACGCCTTTATTTTTTATTTTTCTTCTTTAAATAAAATTGTGGTTATACATTTAAAACATCTAGCATATTATTTTCAACAGAAGTCCGTATAAAGGTATCCATATATCGCTGCCAATTCTGACGTGATGTCCGGCGAAAATATTTTGCGGACAGACAGAGAGAGAGAGAGAGAGAGAGAGAGAGAGGTGCGAACGTGGGGTTTTATATATTAGGACTAGGCATGCTGCCCAACTTTGCTTAGGCTTTCGAAAGCATTGAGAATTTGAATGCTTAATTAATTCGCCCGAGGGTCGGTCTACGACCTCAGGAGTTATGAAGAGGTTCCTCCGTGGACATTTTTTTTCGATTTATAGCTCATATAAGGCGCCGGTCAGTCGAGGTCAGTTTTGACCCCATCATCGTAGACTTTTCGGCCAACCGGCCCCCGTGTTCAGTCGCCTTAAGGCAAGATCCTGCCAAATTTGAAGCGCCTGCGGCGCCGGGAAGTGCCCTATCGGGCACCCGACAACTTTGCTTTATATATTATAGAGATTAGCAAATTGCATAGATAAACAAAGATTTCAATAAAGTAATTAAGGCCTGAAATACTTTAGTATAGAAATGTATTATTTGAATAGATGAATCTAGAATATCTAGATCTAGAATCCAAATAAATAAAATAAATTTTATGAGTTTAGGCCGGAAAAATTGTATTGTATACATTTCATAGTGTACGTAGATCTAAATCAAATTTGAATGAAATAGTTCATTTCTTTTTATTCTAAACACGGCAGATGACGTCATTAGTTAATGTATAAGCAATAGTGACGTCACAGTTTTATGCGTTCTTTTCACATCTATTAATGCTTTTCCGGTTGCATAAATAATACTGTTTCTCTACATTCGAATACGCCTTTAATTTTTATTTTTCTTCTTTAAAGAAAATTGTGGTTATACATTTAAAACATCTAACATATTATTTTCAACAAAAGTCCGTATAAAGTTCTCCATATATCGCTGCCGTTTCTGACTTGATGTCCGGCGAAAATATTTTGCGGACAGACAGAGAGAGAGAGAGAAGAGCGCACATGGCTTTTTATATATTAGGATATTTCAATGGTCAACAAATAATACCATGGTTTACCGTTATCGTAACTTTAGTTACCGAAACTCAACAAACATTACCCAATAATTTCTGATGCTAAACTAAGCCAGGTTTTACCGTGTACAGTACTAGATCTAGGCTTTTCGATTCGTCAAGTCTCGTTCTCGCGGTTTCATGGCTACCGTGTTTTGGGCGGACATATAAAATATCGAATCATTTCTTTCTCATGAAGTACACAATAGTTAAAAATAAGGATTATATTGTACTCGGAAACATTTGTACTCGAAACTGCCCATGTATTTACGGGGCGAATAATTAACATTTTAATAATGGCAGCTTGACCTTATATCTTTATTTGTATTTAACGAGGCCGTCGAGAGAAAGTCACGCTTACTTAGCTTGCGTTTCAAGTCGAATAAACTAAAGCAGGTGCGTTCTTCAATAACTTTATTGTAATATTCAATTTGTATAACATCTTTACTATCAAATAAAAATAGAATTGTTTAATATAATTAGGGTGACAACAATGCTTTTGAGGGTGTGGGTAATAAGGCCATTTTATTATATTCTTGTTTGGTGAAAACGAGGCGCGGGAAAATGTGTGCCGCGCAAGAATCCAATCATTTGGCTAGATTTATGACTGTTTTTTATGTCACACCTAAAAATAGAATGTTTACGCTTTCTTCGTTGATGATCGTTTTTATTATTTTTTAAATTGAAACTAATAATTTTTGCAGATTTTGTAACTTGGTATACTTACCCTTTATCAATTTTAAAAACATAGCATGCTGATTGTGAACAAATATAGTCATAAAACACAGAAATATAAAGTTATAATTGCGATGTGCCACACCCGGGCCACACCCCCTCAAGAAAGCATGTGTTTATTAACTTATTAAGCTGTTTATCTTTACTTTACAACAGTAATTAAAATTAATTTTCAAATTTTTATCACTTATTGGGTAAGATTAAGCACATGTTTACCAAAAATAAAAAAAATAAAAAAGCAAATTCTGTTTTAATGAAGGTCACGGGTGAAGTTTCTTTTCCTTCTGTCACGTTGCAGTCACTATAAACTAAGTCACTATAATTACTATAAAAGGGTGCAACACCTTGGAATTTTTTTCAGTAATAATGACTTTGCACAGAAAGTTAAAATAAGCTAAATTAGCTTAGTTTACTAGTGTTCTAGCTATTATTGATACATTTTTAATAAAAAAATCATTCTGTAATTCTCATCAAAAAGCCTACTAGTCTACTAGTACTAGATCTAAGTATTTAAGTATTTAATAGTCTGGCGCGTTGCTTAGATGGCTGGATTGACCTCTGACCCTGAAACGTCACGCGTCGTTTTTAGACGGTTTTTACGTTTATTTTAGGGGTCCCATCCACGACAAATGAAAAAACTGTTAATCTCGCAAATTCTCATCATTATTTTAATGCAGAATGCTAATAAAATGGATAATATGCCTTAGAATGCCAGAAAAAATCGAGAGATTTGTTGTTGTAAATAATGAGAGGATTTCTAGTAGAGCGCTCTCCGTAAAAACTGAACCGCCGCTAAAAACGACCGACCTCCGGGGAAAACGGCCCGACCTCCTCTAAATTAATATATAATTGAGATATTTACCTTGTATATTTACATAATTATTGATTCTGGCTTCCAAAATCTTATCCCAAAATGAGGTACCCACGCTGACATTTCTATCCGCTATTTTTAGTATCATGACGTCATTGCTACGCTAGTTGCCAGACTGAAACAACTAGTTTTTGTTTTTTACGGAATGAACTGTTAAGTCTAGTATTTTAATTATAATTCAATTGTAGCATGTGTGGAAAAAGTAAAATTATGGACATTATTGTTGTATTAGTAATTTTATTAGTATATTGATTTTTTCTTCACTGTGGGCCGACAGTTGCTGCATTCGTGACCGGTGGTTAACCTCGTCAACGCTGCGTGGCCTATTCGTTTATATAATCAGTGATGCTCGTTCAGTGGCCTTTTTCAGAGCTAGGCCTAATTACGGGTGATTTTTAGACTTAATTGATCGGCCGTTAGCCCTTTTCATTGCTGCGTATTTTAAAAAAAAATGCTCGTTCAGCTGCCTTTTTTTTTGGCGCTAAATAATCTGTTTACGGGCATTTTACGCGTTTATTTATTTTTTTTTTAAGCTAGACGTAGATCTAGTTAAATTTTTTTTTTATACAGCTGGCTGTCTAGCATGCCTGATATGTGAACTTTAAAAAAAAAATGACCGAACTTTAAAAAAAAAAATGACCAGAAGTAGGGAAGTAGGTCTGTTATTCAATTTGCTTGAAGAAGGGGGGGGGGGGGGGAAGAGAGAGAGAAGTGAAGACACCGACCATCTCGTGTACGCGTGTTCATTCTATGACGTGTACTATAGGTCACGGTGACCCCGCGACCGTGGTGGGATTTTTCATCCACAGGATAGTAAACATAAGCAAGCAATCACGCGAGTGACGATGTTTGGAGATTTTATTTTTAAAAAAAAAATCACATACGTCATGTTTTCAAGATGAAAAAAAATGTAATGTAAAAAAAAAAAGGGGGACACTAATACCATGTATGAACCTCAGCTGCAACACTGTTGACTCAATATAATGTGATTGAGTGTAAAATGTATTTGTATTTATAAACTATCTTAGCAATTACTATCATATTATTTTATGCATATTTATTATTTGAAATAAAAATATTTATTATGGTCATTTGATTTATGCAGGTGTTCATTACTTCATAAAATGGTATGAATAACATGTAGAGTAGAATTTAATAAATAATAAAATAACTAGATCTAGTTTTATTATCAACCAGTTGCTTTTTGTTATTTTCCGGTGAGTAAATAACCTAAGCTGACGCAATTACCATGGCGGGAATTAAAAGCTCGTGGACACAAGTCCACGACGTAATGTTATGCCGGTCGAGGGGATAAAACGCGGTTTTGTCTTTCATTTTCCAATATCGGAAAAATTTCAAATTCTCTCTTTTCTCGTCAACCGAGTAAGCTAGATATTTAAATGTGGTGTCAAATGTTCTCTTAAGGGGTAAGGAAGTTAATGGTGTATTTGAAATAACAGAATATTTTATTTTAAAAAATCCATAATTCAACCTAGTATTTAAGTATTTGTAAGTAAGTACTAGATCTAGATTCTAGACTAGATCTACAGACTACAGACTCTACAGTAACAGAGTCGTACAGTAGTTAGTAACTACACTACAGACTAGTACAGTTAGTACAGACTACAGACAGTGACAGTAAAGTAAAATCACAGTTAGTGTCAGTCACTGCTGTCAGTTGACAGTTAGTGATAGTGAGTTAGTACAGCACTGGAAGATCCCACTTCAACTCCACTAATAGCTTTTCACACAAGATTTTTAAAGACTTTTTTCGTCTTATTTTATCACTCTCGTCAATTTGTAGCATCAATACCTAATTTAATCGTTACCTCACATACTAATGCTATACTTATTAGGACAACGACCTTCGGGAGCTTACCTTTCGTTCCTTTGGTCGCCATCTTTGCTAAAAAAAAATAACAACTGCTTCTCTTTCTAATTATTTTTAACAAAAGAGCTCTGAGTAGCTGTTATTTTATATTTTCAATTTAGGAAGAGCTAGTTTAATTTTACGCAATTTTACCGATCTCGTCACCAGAAGTCGACCTTAACGTCACAAATGTGTATTTCATCATAAAATGTTGAAGCATGGCGCTTCTCATACAAAACTTAAATCAAAGTGATATCTGTTTTAAACTTAATTAAAATTTTGGGCTGTTTCTTTTTTAATAAGGTATTCTAGATCTAGATCTATTTTTAGATCTAGACTAGAATCTAGATTTTTATATCCAGATCTAGTTCTAGATTCGATCTAGATCTAGATCTAGATTATATCTATTATCTAGATTCTAGCTAGAGTAGTCTAGAACCTAACTAAACTAAGTAACTAACTAAACAATACTAGAAAATCTAGGCCTAGCCTAAATCTTAGGCATTCCGACTTCAGCTGTTTCGATTCGGTATTCAACATCCGGACTTTTCGATGCAGTCTTTATAAAAACTCGCCCTTTTCCGAAGAATGCCGAATCTCACTGTTGGAATCAAGTTTTTAGAAATATTCGATATAGATATTCTAGTGTGGTCGTATTATATGTTTCAATTAGAAAATTACCGCCAGTATGACAATCTTTAAGCCGAAATCGATCGCACGACTCTAATGAGTTTATCTCGCGAACATGTCCCGTACGGTGCTGTCACATTTTAAATAAGTTTACGTATTAAACACATTATAAGTGTCTTGCCATTAGTTGTAAGTGTCCATTAAATAAACAAATATTATTATAATAACGGTTTTATGGCACTTACTACTTCTGCTTACGAGTTATCATACATGTCAAATCCCCGAGCTAGCGATTCGGCCTTGACAACGCCATGGCGTCGGTTTAGCACCGCATTACCTATTATCGATAAAATACGCGCACTAATGCCAATGACGTAGTTTTCGAAGTTGGAAAGAATTTAAATTGTGGGTGGCACTGTTAAAACTAGATAAAATACGTTGATCAAGTTATCTATTAAAACCGACAGGCAAGAAGCTTAGGCTTACATTAAATAGTGTTAAGCATTTCACACATACCTACTTACTTAAATTTAAGGCTAATAGTAATACTAATAGTATACTAATTTTATTTTTAATAGCCTTTAATATACTATTACTATTATACTTTATACTATAAATAAGTTATAGGCTAGGCCTATTTCTTAGTATAACTAATGCTATATACTATATGTATCGATTGATAAAGTAAGTCTGGGCCTATTATTGGTTATGATAAGTAAAGAAGCTTGGTGATAAACTTATTTAATTATTTGTAATAATTATGCTTATGACATTAGTAAATAATTAACAAAAGGTGCAGCAATTGACATGGGGGGGGGGGTACTAATTAATAAGGCAGTGAATTTAGAATGACATGAAAAAGGCATGATAATTATTATTCATAATAATTTAGGATACAATTTTTACATTTAATAATAAAAAGTAACAAAAAACAAATAACAACAAACAATATGGATTTAAATCACTGCATGTTGCCAATATATTCATATAAGCAGATAGACATGGAAGCTGTAACTTCTGATTTGGTACAAATTAACACTTAGCTTAATAAACTTTTACAAGAATTTAAGGTTTTTCTATTGATTAGTAATTTAGTTGTACCAAAATATCAATAGGGTCCTATAAAGGCCCTAGTATATTAAAGTAGTTTCCCTTTTGGACCTGTCAATCCATCATCCATAAAGCAGCTGAAGTAGAGTCTGTAGAGTTTATCTGTTTCTTGACCCATGCACATGAAGTGATGGTGTGGTTAGCTCTCTGCCAAACTATCTTTACTTTCCCTTGGGTCAGGTACTCATCTGAGCTTGGTGGATGCTGCACGCTGCACAGACTCGTCTGAGATCTGAGCTTAAGACTTGCATGTTAGTAGTTGAGTGCTTTAACACACCATCCCTAGTTTTATTTTTCAGCATTCTTCTTATTACATGCTTCAGTATCAATAACCAAAATGTATCCTATCTATTATAGTAACATTCTGGACATACGTCCGTTGCAGTCACTATAATTACTATAAAAGGGTGCAACACCCTTTCATAGGACTTTTTAATTATATGCAGTCATACTTAATATAATTTTTTTCTATATTTCTATTGCCCCCACCCTCTAGCAAAGTTTCAATTTTAATATTAAAAAAAAACATAGACTTTCAGTCTGCATATTGACCTATATAGAACAGTACCCCTCACTTTAATTTGACTTGATTAGTTCTAATTATCCTTCATCAAATTTTGATTTTACTTTCATATTTCTATTGCCCACACTCTCTAGCACTAATGTGCAAAGTTTTATAATTATATCTCGAATAGCAGCAGTGGTATGCAAGCCTAAAGCCAATCACACAATTAAATCCGATGTTACAGTGATATATAACAGGTTTAATACATAAATTTAAAAATTCATATAAAAAAAACTATTAGGCCTAGAATGATAAATTTGGTATTTTTATCAATGGGGTATATTATAGGATTAATCTGTGTACATTTTATCATTCTATGGTAATTAGGAAAAATATCCCAACATCTATATACTACTAAAAGTCAAGTTTGTTTACATGTTTGAATATTTATTTGTTTGCCTGATCGAAAATTGTGATATGTTCGACTCTATCTGGAAAGCTGTAAAATGGTATGCAGGTAGAGAATAATTTTTTAATGCAGACAGACTGTTGATCACAAATTTATTTAAAGACGTTAATTAATTTATTGATTTATTCCTATGCAGAATAACCCATTTTTTTTTAAAATATTTGAAAAGCCACTAGACTCGGCGGGACCGTGACGTCACAGGTTTTTGTTTACTCTTTAGTACAATAAAATGGCGGCGTCTATTGAAGAAAATTGTGTTCCCATTCAAAAGTTTAACGCGTTCTAAATCTAATTTTCTGTCGGTCATAACTTTAACAATACGTCCGTTTGCTGTATTTATTACGTTCCAACACTTATATCAATTTTAAACTGTCTTTTTTCATTTACTTTTACGATAAATTTCTCTAGATCTACAATCTGTCCAAGAAAATGTTAAAACATTGACTAAACTTTGTGGGAATAGTGACGTCCCTTGATGTGTTTACTTTTTTAGTACAATAAAAATGGCAGACTTCATCATAGACTTTGTGGCCCATTCAAAAGTTTAACGCGTTACAAAGCTAATTTTCTGCCGGCTATAACTTAAACAATACGTCCGTTTGCTGTATTTATTACGTTCCAACACTTATATCAATTTTAAACTGCCTTTTTTCATTAGTTTTACAATAAATTTCTCTAGATCTAAAGATCAGCTGTTTATGAATCTAGCCTAGATTCTAGACTAGAACTAGATCTAGCCTAGATCTAGGTCACTAGACTCAATGTAATATGTATATCTAGATCTAGACTTAATGTAAATTCTACATCTAGAATCTATTTCAGGCCTTAATTATTTTACATAAATCTTTGTTTAGCTTCAATGATCATCTAATTCGAGAATAAATGGGATTTTTTAAATCTAGGTTCTATATCTAGATATAGTAGGATTACTAACTAACTTGGAGGCGTGGTCGGCTGCTAACAACAATATGGCGTCCGGACCGGACGAATGACTTCGGACCATTTTTAGGCCATGTTTACCACGAGCAAGATGGCGGGTGTTCACATTATTTAAACATGGTATAGGTGGCCAGGGCTAGATATGCCAGAAAAGCATTTTAAAATTTGCTTTGGAGAGTGAAGGCTAAATTTTAAAGTCAGTGTCATAAAAATTAATAGAACTTTTTTTTTACGTTTTCAATTATTTTTTCTTAAGCCCTATATGTGAATGATAAGGTTGACTATCAGGAACTCGCGGGGCACAGGGCAGGTGAAGTAAGTTTCATCTGTTTCTTTGTCCTAAGCATATGAAAGGATAGTGTGGTCAGAGACATGCTCGGCTAGAATCGTTTTTTAAACGATAAAAACATGTTGTCTGAGACTTGGCGGGACACTGGGCAGGTGAAGTAGAGTTGAGTAGGTCACCTGTGACGTCAGTATATGAAGGGATAGTCCGAAATCGGTGTTTTCGGTGTTTTTAAATGATAAAAAACATCTTTTTGAATGTGGGGTCTGTTTTTGTGACGATAAGTGACACTGCAGTAGCGTAGCGAGGAGGGGGGGGGGGGGGGCGGGTGGGGGGGGGGGGAGGTGGAGGGGGGGGGCGGGGGGGGACATATGTTGGGGCGCCAAAATGGTTTGGAAAAATAAATTGAAAGGTTGAGGGGGGTTCAAATCGAAAGTTTGAGTGGGGGGGGGGGGGTGCACATCAAAAGTTTGAGGGAGGGGGGGTGAAAATCGAAATCTTTGGGGGGGGGGGTTAAAATCGAAAAGTTTGTCCCCGGGCGCCGGGAAGGGTCGCTATGCCTCTGAGTGACAGACGTGATGTTTTTTGATGGATGACCCCCGAAACCCACAGTTATCCAACGGATGACGGGTATTCTAGTTCCTACTAAATCTAGATGATCTAGATCTAGACTCTAGCTAGAGTAAAGTGGCGTCTGCGGACAGTTGCCTCTGTGTGGACACCTTGCCGTTTTTCGCTTAAACAACAATTGTATGAATGTTTTATACGAAACTAACGCAAACAACACAAAGCATGTCCATTTTTAAACACAACTGAGTCAATTTCTTCTATTTCACTCAATAGGGAGATTAATTGGAATTTTTCAAAGTTGCGATGTATGACGTTTTGTGTAGGGAACCCTCACCCGGATGAAGAGCACTAGTCCCCGGATTAGAGGAATAAATTGAACCAATCATAGCTTAGTTAACTGGGTTAACTATAAATAGCTTATATATATATATAGAAAGCTATAAATACCATAGTTAAGGTTGTTTAAGCAGGGCTGCCTACTTGTACGGTTTTGCCCGTAACTTTACGATTTTGACACCCAGATTACGGAATTACGATTATGCTGCAAAATTACGGTTTTGATTTCAGTAGAGATCAAAATCGACTTTAGTGTAAAAAAAAAAAAATTTCTGGTGGTAACTTAACTTTATGTTCCCGGTCTGAGTTTTATATTTTAATTTAGCTAGTTATATTTCAGTGTGTTATCCGGTTCTAAGGTTCTCAGCCTCTTCCGTAACAATCCCCCCTTCCCGCTCATGTCATGGCCGGTGGCAGTCGTGTTTATATTGTGAACTATTGACCCCGCGAGTGGTCTGTGTTACCTCATGAGCCGGTGTTGTCCGGAGAAAAAAAAGGGCGTGGCCTAAATCATTGAAAGTCTGGTCGCGCAGTCCGGCGAGACATATTTGCTGAGGCGGTATTACGGCTAAATGCCTAAATAGCGAGATATCAAGGCATTTTGTTTGAGATGTGCGAGAAGACAAGATTTTACTAAACAACGAGATCTAGGCTCACCTAGATCAATTACGGATCATATTTTTAAAATTGTTCTTTTCTTCTAGATGTTACATTGATAAAATGTAGATTTAAAAAAAATATTCAAGAAATATGCTAATTCTAAACATCGTCACCCGTCGGCCGCTTACGTTTTCTTGTTCGCGGGAGAAAAAATCCTGACACACACACACACAGTCGAGGGGTCACTGAGTTCACATTGGTTTAGATATCCGTAGTGTTGGCCTATATCATACGTCATACTACTCATTGCAAGAACAATTCCTATTTGAAATTTTCCATTGTCGCCTTACATTCTGAATTTAACGGCGTTTTTTTTTTTTTTTTAAAATTATTAGTTCATAAAATAAAAAGTAGCACGAGTCGCCGACTGTCATCATTACGCCGATGAGCTTTACGATCGTATAATATGGGTCTTATTTACATTGTATTTAAAAAAATGTGTAAAAATACGGAAAGTTACGGAAAACCTATGCTCTTGTTACGGGAAAAATTTTTTTGGGGTAGGCAGCCCTGTTTAAGCCATCTTAGAGGAAAAATTGGGGTGTCCGCATCTTTTTTGAGGGTTAACCTTTTGCGGACACTAATGAAAAATCAGAGTATATTTCTTACACTTTAAGTAAAAAGGAGCTTTGAACTAATCTTGATACTCCAGATTTATATTTAAATTTAAGTCTAAATCTAGATCTATAAGTTTTTAGTAATGTTTTTAGGTTTTAAAAATATTTTTGATCATCAAACGTGTCTACTAAGCAAAAAGTGAAATAAAATCTCAACTGGGTCCTGAGTTTCTTTCAGGCATCACTTTAATTTAATTAAAACTTATTTCATATTTCTTCATATTTTTTGTTTTCCAATATATTAATATATAAAACAATCAACAACACTATTTATGTATGTAACATGTTTATTTCAATCATTTAAATAGAAATAAAATGAACAAAATATTCCTTGTCCGCATAAGGAGCAAGTGTGCGCACAGAAAATAAAATGTAAAAAAAAGTGCACTTACTGTCCGCACAGAGTCTCACCACTGAAAATGTTAATACATTCAATGCTATGGGTATGAATACAAAATGAATCAGACGTGATTAAACTAGAAAGAATGCGGAGTGAGATGGTACTTTCGGTTTGTTTCTATGTGAAGCGGTTACTGAATGGTGCTCAATGGAAATCGGCACTTCCAATTTTTTTTGCTACGTCTGTCCGCAGACGCCACTTTACTCTAGATCTAAACATTAATTTAACTTTAAACATTACTAAACAAAATTAAAAAATTGTTAGGGCCCTACTTATACTTAACTTAGCTAATAATTAGTTAGGCCGATGTCTCTAGATTGTAGAATGTACTGTAGTACTGTACTAACTGCCACTGTGTAGAATAGTCTAAGAATAGTAAAGCATACTGAAGAGTGTAGATCTGTTTTAGTTTTAGTTCTAATACTAGTTCTAGATCTTGATTCTATCTAGAAAATAAGTCATCATAATCATAGAGCTATTTAATTGATTTTAAATAAAATTAATTACTTCAAAACAATTGCGAATTAGGCCTTTTTAAAATTATTATTTTACAATTAAAGGGTCTTGGTGAAATGTTAAATAAATGGGGAGGCAGTTAAATGTGAAAAATGGCGTTTATCGTGATATTTCACTATTTTTTTCACACATTTTATCCCCAAGCGATTGGTATGCTTGGTGTGGATAAATAGTGCTGATATCTGTGAAAATTTTATTGCATCTCATATAGGGACAGGTTACAGTTAAGGATAAGTTAGGGGATAAGAATAGTCACATAGTGTAAGTGGTATGTGTACTTTTTAGTGAGAAGGATAGGTAAAATATGGTTATAGCAAATATTGCCTACATACAGTCACATTTTTGTTGACAATTAGCCTATATTTGATGATTTGTGTGTTTTAACTCAAAGTATTCAGTATAACATGATTTTTTTGTATTTCTTTTAGGTCAAATTTAAGTAGAATTATAGAAGAGTAGAAAGTTTAAATGGCATCTAGTTCTGCAAGAGAACGATTTATGGCTGACTCTAAGTCATTGAACAGTGGATCCAAGAAAATCCTCCACTCAGATCCACAGACCAGTAAGCCAGTTAACAGAGCAAAGACAATCTCCAATGCTGATGACCCTGTGACTTTGTTGATACCTCATCTAGACAATGATGAGACAGCCACAGAGAGAAAGCCAAGGGCAAACAGGGTTAGTAGATTCATGTTGCTTTTAGATATCCTTGCATGTTAAGATAGGGCTGGAACTAGATTCTAGATGGTTTCTTTAAAGTCTTTGATTCTGATTTAACCATGTGTGTTTGCATATAATATGAATAATTGAATGTCCACAGTATGATCCCTACTCCTTTCTTGAAAATATGACACTTCCCTTTGAGTTCACTAACATTGGCAAGTCTAAAGCTCAGGCCAGTAAAAAAAAACACGAAGCTGATGCAGCCGCTGCTGTTGCTGCTGCTGCTGCTGTTGCCACTGGTGAGAAAAGGCCTCTGCCCCATTGTAAGGCATGCACTGATTTCAAAACCTGGATGGAACTTACAGCTCATCCTAAACGGGTCAGTTAGGTTTGGTTACATTCAGACTTTTTATGTTTTCTAGCATTAACCCTTTACAGGCCTATGTGCCAGCGGTCGCCCAAAATTTTTTTTGAGTGGTACAGTCTGGTGCTCCTGTGGTAGCCCTACTATGTATATAACATTTATTTATGCGTAGTAGCGGAAGGCTTGTTGATAACGAGATTTTGAAGATGCCTGCAGTAGCCCGGAAAAAGCTTTTCTGGGTGGTACAGCCTGGTGTGCCCGCGGTCTCCCTATTATGTATAGTACAATTACTTATGCGAAGTAGCGGAAGTCTTGTTGATAATGAGATTTTGAAGAGGTCAGCGGAAGCTGGAAAAATATGTTTTATTTATGTTGTTTTCTCGTTGTTCTATCACTAGTGGTCCATTTTCTACAACTTTCCAAAGTTAAGATTTTTTTCTCAAAATTACGGGCAATATAACTAATGAAATTAAATCTAATTAAAATGTCGCTGTTGTTGAATCAGGCTTTATTTACATTGTCGGTTGATTTTTTTTTAGCATTTAAATACAAAATTTATAGAAATAGAATTAAAAGCAGTGTTTTGTTTACGTTTTTCTGGGATTAGGGTTATTTTTATTAATTATTTGTAAATTATTAAGCTATTTACTTCAAGCATAATAAACTTGGACCAGTTTTGTGTATATTGCTTTTTATTTTATTTAGTTTAACTTAAGTGATTTTTTTTTTTAAATATTTTTAAAAAGTGCCGTTGTTGAAAAATGTCTTGTCCTTTCACCTGTCCATAGGGGAAGTAAAACAGTTTAGTAAAATGGTTTAGCTTGTTGTTAAACATGAATACTATTCCTTTGTCAATATTTTCATTCATCTGTATTAATATATGAATGGTACCAGTATACTGGATTATGCAACATGAGTTGTTTCTTATCATGTACAAAAGGGGAACTTCGTATTGACTTGTTAATGTTAATAAATGCTTAATTTAAGAAAACAAAAATGCTCTGCACAATTTTTCGTTGCGCATATTTCTGGTCACCCAACGAACAAATCCCTCCAAAGGTATTTTTTGTAAAACAGCTGTGCCATTTTGAAAGAATGTTATGTGGGGTTCATCATTTACATTTTAGTGTTACTGCTAAATTGTAGCCATTCAATATTGTTTATATGTATTTTCTAATTTTTGTCAGCATATGAGCAGAGAAGAAAGAGAACAAAAGGAGTGTCCTCTTGATTCTGAATTACTTGGCAGAAACTCATGGGCATTCCTCCACACGATGGCAGCTTACTACCCTGAAAAACCTTCCCCGGAACAGCAATTTAATATGAAGAAATTTATCTCCCTATTGTCACAGTTTTATCCATGTCATAAATGTGCATCACATCTAAGAGAAGAGTAGGTCTTTGTTTATTGAAGTATAACTGGAAGGGGCTAAATATTGACAGACTTAAATATCACTGTTCTATCAAAACCTTTGTTTCCATCATGAGTTCATGTTTGCTACAGTGTTGTCTAGTAGGTTGGTTTCACTCATCTAAATTCAAGGCAGTCTATGTCTCATGTAGTACATGCCATAACATCCTGTACTATCTGTTACACTGTGTGATGGGGGGAAAATGAAGAAACTTTGCAAGACTAGCGAAGATTTGAAAGTATCTTTATTTATTTCACTTTTTTTTTAGCTTGAAGACCAACACACCTGACACCAGTAATAATATAGCACTGTCCCAGTGGTTTTGTAATCTACACAATAGTGTGAATGTGCAACTAGGCAAGGTTGAGTTTGACTGTTCAAAGGTAAGATACCCACTAGTGCACCATCCTATTTATTACTGTAGTCCTGAATATTTATCAGAACATTGTCCACCAATATTTTTCTTGGTTTTTTATTTTGCAAAAAAAACACAGAAAAAGTCTAATTTATTTGAAGGACTATTTTAATAATAGAAATTTGTTGAGACATGCTAAATGAATTTTACTGTGGACAGTCTCTACAACAGAAACCACCCCTCACTCACTTTCTTGATCATGCTGATAGTGAGGGTTACAGTGTGCCCTGCTAGCTAGCCCAGACTGTCTCACCTCTGCTAGCATTATTCTTTCAATATGTAGTTTTATCATAGTTATTTTTAGTTTAAAAACCTACACTAAGGTCTGACAAAATCAAAGGCATGTTTGAGAAAGGTGAAGGGGTTACTCAACAATTCATGTAGTTAAAGATTAACAAGATAAAAATTGTGTGCCAACTGTGGTTGCAGTCTGTTTATTTTTTAACTTTATGTTTGACAATAAGAGTTAATAGGGTGAGAAAATTTAGACCTTAAGGGCATGGGCGGGTGATGAGTACCAATTTCCTTATTTCCGAGTCTAAAGATGTAATACTTGGCTAATAGTTATAACTCAAAGAGATAAGCATAAAAATATTTTTTTTAATTTTTTAAATCCTCCGTTGCCATGGTGACGGCGGCCATATTGGATTTTATTGACGATTTTTAAATGGAAATAACTCAAAAATGGTTTGTACAAATTTCATAAAAACTTAATATAGTCTGAAGACACATGTGTTTAACACTTCTGATAGATTACATTTTCAAAAAAGACGATAGTTTTTTTTTCACTTTTTTTTCCTATACATCACTGTAAAAATTTCATTATTTCGTCCAATTTTTTCACTATTTCAACAATAAAAAAAATTTTTTTTTTAAATTTCCAAAAGTGTTCTATCAGTTTTATTTGAACATATATACAGAGTAACTGGAGCAAATTTAGTTCAGTTCTGATAATTATTAACAAAGTTATTTCACTAATTGTACACAAAAGTATCAAACTGAGAAAAACGCAAAAAACCAACAAAAAGTTGCAAAAAAAGAAAATTTACAGCTGTATGTCACTAAAATTGACCACATTTATTGCCTGAAGTATGGTGCTGCTGAATATATTTCTTCTGAGCTTGTTCAGCTGTTAGTTTTCTTTTTTTCTGGCTTTCTTTGTTGTACCTAGAGCTGTAGTAAAGCTGTTGCGAAGGCGTCTTTTTTGGCGTCCTTCACTGAGTCTTCGACTATGGTTTCCTTCTTTTGACAGCAATTCTATAGCATGCATGGGCCCAATACTGAATTATGCTATCGCAGAAACAGCAGTATATTTTGCATGGTCTCATGTCTAAAGCCAATTATGATAAGACGATGTCTTTGTTTATTATGAATGGCCTTGTTCTGGATTCTTTTGCAGTTGTATACATACGGTTTACAACATTTTTATTACTGCCACACCATGCTTGAAGCAAACCCTTTACACTTTTTTCATCGATAGTAGCCACTACATCACAGTTACACTCTGGGCAAGGAAATGTATTGATAACATCAAGAAGCAAATCACAGTCGACAATAATTCTGCATGGCTGTTGTTTACAATTAACACTACCATACTAGATGTAACAGTGCTTTCTTCTGTCTGTAAAAACTGTCTTACATTGCCGCAGTTTCTTAGTAAATGTGCATATTACATCTGCACCAGTGCTTGTCTGAATAGTGCTAGATTGAGTAGAGGTAGATCTAGATGCAATCAGTTGCATTCGGACGTGCCTTTGCTTTAGTAAATTCGTTAGATGTGTGTATCTATTTTTAGCGAGTGTTTTGTTCTACCCATTATCGAAAGAGAAACAAATTAAATCGTCTGACTGCTTATGATAATTCTCACAAACTAATCTAAACTGTTAAAAGTATATTTAATTTAAATAATTATATGTTAAAATAATGTAAGTATTTCACAGAAGCTTAGAGAAACAAAACTAGATCAAACTTAGCAACGCGCTGAAACTAAGGGATTGTTTACTTACGAAGCGAAACGACCAATCGCTAACTAGCTTCCGCCGTTGAATGCCAATGAAAAAATTGAGGTCAAAAATTTGCATACCGGAAAAACCCGACTGAGTAAAATAAACAACTTTATGACGTAGAAAAATAATCACATTAAAATAGGTATTTTGATTGGTCCTTTAATTTTAGAACAAATAAAGAAAGGAGGTCACGGCCTTTCCATTGATATGAAACACATTAGGCTTCCGCAAAATCTAATAGTACTTTTCTAGGTTGAAAAATGGCTATTTTTACCGAAAAAGTGAACAAATTACCCTGAACATACTACTTTGAACCCGGTTTTTCATAAATAAATAATGTTTTCAGGGTCATAACAATGTCATTTTTAGATTCAACGATGGTTATTCTGTATAGATCAAGTAAAAGTGGGAAATCGATGATTTAGTGGATTTATGACGAAAAGTACACCCGCCCATGCCCTTAACCCCACTTTTTCTTAGACAGGTGGTTACATCTCTGATATATTATGCATGTGGTTACATCTCTGATACATTGTGCATGTGGTTACATCTCTGATATATTATGCAGGCAGTCACATCTCTGATACATTGTGCATGTGGTTACATCTCTGATACATTGTGCATGTGGTTACATCTCTGATATATTATGCAGGCAGTCACATCTCTGATATATTATGCATGTGGTTACATCTCTGATATATTTAATTATGCATGTGGTTACATCTCTGATATATTGGGCAGGTGGTTACATCTCTGATATATTGGGCAGGTGGTTACATCTCTGATATATTATGCAGTCAGTCACATCTCTGATATATTATGCATGTGGTCACATCTCTGATATATTGGGCAGGTGGTTACATCTCTGATATATTGGGCAGGTGGTTACATCTCTGATATATTGGGCAGGTGGTTATATCTCTGATATATTGGGCAGGTGGTTACATCTCTGATATATTGGGCAGGTGGTTACATCTCTGATATATTGGGCAGGTGGTTATATCTCTGATATATTGGGCAGGTGGTTACATCTCTGATATATTGGGCAGGTGGTTACATCTCTGATATATTGGGCAGGTGGTTACATCTCTGATATATTGGGCAGGTGGTTACATCTCTGATATATTGGGCAGGTGGTTACATCTCTGATATATTATGCATGTGGTTATATCTCTGATATATTGGGCAGGTGGTTACATCTCTGATATATTGGGCAGGTGGTTACATCTCTGATATATTATGCATGTGGTTACATCTCTGATACATTGTGCATGTGGTTACATCTCTGATATATTATGCAGGCAGTCACATCTCTGATACATTGTGCATGTGGTTACATCTCTGATACATTGTGCATGTGGTTACATCTCTGATATATTATGCAGGCAGTCACATCTCTGATATATTATGCATGTGGTTACATCTCTGATATATTTAATTATGCATGTGGTTACATCTCTGATATATTGGGCAGGTGGTTACATCTCTGATATATTGGGCAGGTGGTTACATCTCTGATATATTATGCAGTCAGTCACATCTCTGATATATTATGCATGTGGTCACATCTCTGATATATTGGGCAGGTGGTTACATCTCTGATATATTGGGCAGGTGGTTACATCTCTGATATATTGGGCAGGTGGTTATATCTCTGATATATTGGGCAGGTGGTTACATCTCTGATATATTGGGCAGGTGGTTACATCTCTGATATATTGGGCAGGTGGTTATATCTCTGATATATTGGGCAGGTGGTTACATCTCTGATATATTGGGCAGGTGGTTACATCTCTGATATATTATGCAGTCAGTCACATCTCTGATATATTATGCATGTGGTCACATCTCTGATATATTGGGCAGGTGGTTACATCTCTGATATATTGGGCAGGTGGTTACATCTCTGATATATTGGGCAGGTGGTTATATCTCTGATATATTGGGCAGGTGGTTACATCTCTGATATATTATGCAGGCAGTCACATCTCTGATATATTATGCATGTGGTTACATCTCTGATATATTTAATTATGCATGTGGTTACATCTCTGATATATTGGGCAGGTGGTTACATCTCTGATATATTGGGCAGGTGGTTACATCTCTGATATATTATGCAGTCAGTCACATCTCTGATATATTATGCATGTGGTCACATCTCTGATATATTGGGCAGGTGGTTACATCTCTGATATATTGGGCAGGTGGTTACATCTCTGATATATTGGGCAGGTGGTTATATCTCTGATATATTGGGCAGGTGGTTACATCTCTGATATATTGGGCAGGTGGTTACATCTCTGATATATTGGGCAGGTGGTTATATCTCTGATATATTGGGCAGGTGGTTACATCTCTGATATATTGGGCAGGTGGTTACATCTCTGATATATTGGGCAGGTGGTTACATCTCTGATATATTGGGCAGGTGGTTACATCTCTGATATATTGGGCAGGTGGTTACATCTCTGATATATTATGCATGTGGTTATATCTCTGATATATTGGGCAGGTGGTTACATCTCTGATATATTGGGCAGGTGGTTACATCTCTGATATATTATGCATGTGGTTACATCTCTGATATATTGGGCAGGTGGTTACATCTCTGATATATTGGGCAGGTGGTTACATCTCTGATATATTGGGCAGGTGGTTACATCTCTGATATATTGTGCAGGTGGTTACATCTCTGATATATTATGCAAGTGGTTATATCTCTGATATATTGGGCAGGTGGTTACATCTCTGATATATTGGGCAGGTGGTTACATCTCTGATATATTATGTATGTGGTTACATCTCTGATATATTGGGCAGGTGGTTACATCTCTGATATATTATGCATGTGGTTACATCTCTGATATATTGGGCAGGTGGTTACATCTCTGATATATTGGGCAGGTGGTTACATCTCTGATATATTATGCATGTGGTTACATCTCTGATATATTGGGCAGGTGGTTACATCTCTGATATATTGGGCAGGTGGTTACATCTCTGATAAATTGGGCAGGTGGTTACTGTTAGCAGTATAAGAATTAGTATTGGTGATTATCTGTGCACTGGGTGATTCAACCGGTAGGAGGGTCTGAGCCGCTTCTCTACCGGGAATATAGTAAATGTATTTTTAAGTATGTATTCAACTATCACGGACAGGGTCAAGTAATAATAAAGTTTCAGCAGCTAATGCAGTAATAGTAATAAGTAAACTTAATAGTGGCGAGCTGAAGGTCTGATGACTACGCTACAATTCAATGTGCGCATTTTGAGTAATAGAGCAGGTAGAGGGTGGTGGAAGAATAAAATGGAGCTAGCCTAAACGGTTTTACCTCACAGTTACATCTCTGATATATTATGCAGTCAGTCACATCTCTGATACATTGTGCAGGTGGTTACATCTCTGATATATTGGGCAGGTGGTTACATCTCTGATATATTATGCAGTCAGTCACATCTCTGATACATTGTGCAGGTGGTTACATCTCTGATACATTGTGCAGGTGGTTACATCTCTGATATATTGTGCAGGTGGTTACATCTCTGATATATTGGGCAGGTGGTTACATCTCTGATATATTGGGCAGGTGGTTACATCTCTGATATATTGTGCAGGTGGTTACATCTCTGATACATTGGGCAGGTGGTTACATCTCTGATATATTAGGCAGGCAGTCACATCTCTGATACATTGTGCAGGTGGTTACATCTCTGATATATTGTGCAGGTGGTTACATCTCTGATATATTAGGCAGGCAGTCACATCTCTGATACATTGTGCAGGTGGTTACATCTCTGATATATTGGGCAGGTGGTTACATCTCTGATATATTGGGCAGGTGGTTACATCTCTGATATATTGGGCAGGTGGTTACATCTCTGATATATTGTGCAGGTGGTTACATCTCTGATACATTGTGCAGGTGGTTACATCTCTGATATATTGTGCAGGTGGTTACATCTCTGATATATTAGGCAGGCAGTCACATCTCTGATACATTGTGCAAGTGGTTTAGTGGTGAGGTCCGTACAGCTGGCTGTTGTGCTGTTTGTCCACTTCAGCTGTACCAAATGAATGTCCAATGACATCATCATTTTGCAATTAAACATAGGATAGACAGAATTGTTTTAAAAATCCCAGTATTTGATTGCTATATAACATTTATTACAGTGTCAGTTTCTTTAGTAATTTTTTTATTTTGAATTTCCTTAGGTGCTGGAGAGGTGGAGAGATGGATGGAAAGATGGCTCCTGTGACTGATGATTTACTCTTTACTTAACAAGCTGCTATTGATTGCATGTTAGCTTTGGTAGTGTGTTTTATATATGAAATTAGAAAACCATCTTTTGAAATCAAATAATAAAAATCAATTGTAAGATCGTGAAATAATTTTTGTGACAGTCAGTATATAAGGTAAATCAGTGTTGACCAAATGGAATGCTTGAAGAAATGTTACCCAGTGTGCTTTCTTGAAATGTTCCAGCCAATCTATAGTGCAAGGAATTGAAACAAATTTTGTGTGGAGCTTACCAGTTTTGTTACGCTTTGGAGATTAGTTTCTATCAAGGCATTTTTATGGACAGTTTTTTTTTTAATGTTTTAATAAGACAATGAATATCTACATGACTGCTTATCATACAGATGACTTTCTCCTCTTGATATTTAAGTAAATTTAAAAATTCGTGGTTACTTTTATTTAATTTGATTGAATGGGAGATAATAAATACCAGTAGTCAACATCTTTACAAAGTTTTTTTTTTTATTATTTCAGAAATTAATAGTTTTTCTTTCATAAAATAGTCTCTACAAAAATAATGTATGAAAGAAGTTTTTTTTTTGTGAATCTTGTTTATCTTCAATTCAGTTCACAATTATTTCAGTTCCTACATTTTAAAAATTAATTCATATCAATTCTGTACCATTTAATATACCATTTAATATACATTCATTCTAAAAATACAAAATGTTGCTTTAGAATTCTATGATCAAATTAAATGCTTTTGCCATGCATGATGCAAATACAGAGAGAACAGTAAACATGCTAGCATTACTTTATGCTTTAAAACAATGCAAGTCAATTTTTTTGCAGTTTCAATTTTTTTTAAACTATTGTAATGTGTCAAAATTTGTTTAGTTCCCATTACACACCAGTTGTCAAATATTGACTACTTTGTGTGAAAACTTTTCTCAGCTGTGTGCTATGTTGCCATCAGTGAAAATCCTGTTCTTTAAGCCCAGATAGCCAGTAGGATATGTCCAACAGTAATATAAACTGGGATGATCATTTGACTAGATAGCTATGGAAGTTATGTTTACTCTAGAATCTTTTTTTTTTTCTCAATGGTGAAAAGTACTGCACCATTTGGGTCATTGCCCTCTCTAATGTATTGTTATTTTCTGTTTAATGTCATTCACTATAATATGCAAATCAAAGTTTGAGTAAAGAATGTATTGTGTACTATGTTGTGTTATGTACATACATTAATAAACATCGAATACCTAGTCAGTGCCTTGTTAATAATCAAATAGACAATACAGACTGGCTGGCTTTTGTGGAACATCAGACAATACAGACTTTTGTTGTACATCAGACAATACAGACTTTTGTGGAACATCAGACAATACAGACTTTTGTTGTACATCAGACAACACACAGACTTTTGTTGTACATCAGACAATACAGACTGGCTGGCTTTTGTGGAACATCAGACAATACAGACTGGCTGGCTTTTGTGGAACATCAGACAATACAGACTGACTGGCTTTTGTGGAACATCAGACAATACAGACTGGCTGGCTTTTGTGGAACATCAGACAATACAGACTGGCTGGCTTTTGTGGTAAAAAGCATAACTTTCGTTTAGATTTTTTTTTTAAATTCACAATTCTTTGGGGGGGGGGGGGGGGGGTCTAAAACTATTTTTAACAATGTAGGTTTTAATTCCGTTATAAAATATAATTAAATACAATGTTTCAACTTACTCAGTGTTTATCGTCTTTTAAAATTGCAAACTTTGAATTCGCATGAAATGGTAAGACAATATAATTTGTTGTCCTCAACTCGCTGCAACAATGCATTCCTATACCTTTCGTCCTTCTGTTAGACTTAGGGGAGTTGTTGAGAATGCTCCTTGAAAATGTTGGGGGGGGGGATAAATTTTCGTCCTCCCCAATGCCTTAAAGAGGCCCCCTAGGGCCCAGAATAAAAATAAGGAATATTATTTAATTTTCAGAGGAATTAACCAGGCTTAGATTATTTAGAAAAAAAATATTAACCCGGTTGTTTCCCCCTTGTCCATAAAAATTCTATAACAAATAAACCGGGAGTGATCTCCCCTAAACTTTCTCGAATATTCTTAAATTAAAAAAACAGGGGATGGGAACTCGGGATATAGACATGAATTTGAATCCATTTAAATACTTAAACTTTTTAAAATAAAATAAAATCTCTTAGAAAAAGGAATTGCACACCAGTGAACGCCAAATAAAATGTGCATAATAGTGCGGAAAATTAGTACTTCCGGTCGACGGAAATTACTCAAAATTTGATAGAAGGCAGAGAATTAGGTCTTTTACTTACATGTGAAATTTCATTTATCTATATGAAATAGTACTCAAGTTATGGGCTTTTGAAAATATTAAGTAGAAAAAGTACCACTTCCGGTTATCGGAAATCGCTCAAAAGTTGATACGGATCTACGATTTTGATAAAATACTTATATATGAAATTTCATCAACCTAGCTGTAACGGTACTCAAGTTATCGTGTTTACACACACACACAGACATACGGACAAGATTGCAAAATTATGTTTTTCCGTATCAGTGAGGTGTAAAACGTCTAGATTTGCAAAAATCTCGATTTTTTTTTTTTTTGCACGATTACAAGACTTTCTCTATACTTCGTCTATACGAGAAAGTAAAAACTGGAGTAGTCATATTGTTCTAAAAATAAGTATAATTCTGAGTTTCGTAAGAAAATAGCGATTGTTTATCTATGCATAAAAATATGTCTATTTGTCCCTGTTTTGTCTTTTATGCCTTTGGAAAGTTGTTGAGAATACTTCTTGTGTAAAATTTGACGCCTCGGGGTCCCCTCGCCTACATTTATTTTAAACATCACAATAAGATAGATACACGGTGGCACATGCCATTCAATGTTTAAGTCGAGCCAAGGGCGTACCCGGCGTCCCTATGGTAGTGTAACCGGTGGCTCTCCAGAGCGCCCAGCGACACTCCTGACACATAGGCGGTCGCCGAAGGGTGTCTACGTCACTACTACGGAGGGTGACTAAAGAAATGCATGCAGCACGCAATTACCGGCGTCTGGGCGGTAAAGTGGATAAACCAGCGCCATAACTCAGATCCAGGAAATATAGCGCCTGCTTTCTTTACATTAAATACCTCAGTTTTAGAAAACAAGGTAACGCATAGATGTTCACGGGACGGGATCGCTAATAGTAATCAGTGGTGGATTAAAGGGGGGGGGGGGGGGGGGTTTAGGGGCCCCCAAATTTTCACTTACAAACCATAGAAAATTTCACTTTACAACTTAATTGTTGTCAGATGCGTAGCGAGGGGGGGGGGGGTTGCGGGGGTGCGGACCGCACCGGGTGACACCAAAAAAATAGTAAAATATATAGAGAAAAATTTGAGGGGGAGGGGTGCAAATAAAAAGTTTGAGGGGGTGCAAATCGAAAGTTCGAGGAGGGGGAGTTGCAAATAGAAAGTTTGACGGGGGGGGGGGGTGCAAATCGAAAGTTTGTCCCCGGGAAGAGTCGCTACGCCTCTGGGGAGGGGGGTGACACCATTAAGTGCCGCACCGGGTGGCACCCGACCTCGCTACGCCACTGATTGTTGTTTTTACTTTAAAATTAAAAATCAATGTTTTAAAGCAGAAATCACATTTTTTTTTCAAAATATACTCTGTATGCATTCATACAAGCAGCATTTTACATATTTTTATACACGTTTATTTCTATTAGTTAATTCATTAATTTATTGTCTAAATTACACGCTATTTTTAAACAAATAAAGGCCATACAAAACGGTGTGGGGGGGGTAGACTTACTTGTCACCCCCCCCCCCCACCCCCCCCCCCCACCCCCGGAAAAATGGAAATACCTCTGAGGCATTATTTAGATCTAGTCGATAGGCCTTCTTAATTAAAGTTCCTGCTCAGATTATGAGATTATTGTCCAATTATCTTGATATGTAAACCTACTCATTAGCTTTGTTTTCTAATTTCCTTACAACTGAACTAAAATCAAAGAACACATAGGCCTAAAGGCCTAAACTAGATTTAGATCTCAAGGCCTAGTTTAGCCTAACATTGCCTGGGACTACTAAAGTAATTTGCGCTCTTTGAGCCTTGTCATTGATTGGTTTAAAAGTTGTAACACAACCTACTCCCCGCCAATGAAAAAATATCTTCCGGATAATTCATATGACGTCATATTTTCTTCTACACACCTGACACATAAGAGGTCGGGGTTTTCCTCATTCGGATTTAAGGACTTGTGTTAAGTAAGGTCATTGTTTACACACATTTTCTTTTGAATTTGGTTCTATTCAGAGGGATAATATATTAATACATTTTGTTCAAAACTTTAAAATGAAAAATGCTATTTTTTTTATTTTACAAGGGATCCTGTGTAGATTCTAGATCTACTTGAACTGCAACCAAAGTGAATCTACGCCATTTCGATATTGCTCCTTGACGCAAAGGTCGAAGCCCGAGCCTTGGATAAACAGAAAAAAAAACATCTGACCAAATCATCTAGATATCTAGCTAGATCTAGATTAGATCACAGAAAATAATAATCTGTCGGACCTTGATGGTAAATTAAAAATTATACTTTACTAGAACTAATCTAGATCTAACATTAACATTTAGATTAGGCTAGGCCTACTTCTGAGTACTTTACTATTCACTCACTATGTGACTGTGTACTTAACTGTGTAGTCTAGAGACTTGAGTCTAAAGTAGACTAACAACTCTAGAATGCTCTAGAATCTAGATTGACTCTACTACTACTAGATCTAGATCTAGAATGATCTAGATTCTATAATCTTATTTTTAATCTAGTCTGTTGAGTTGAAATAAAATCTAGTCTATAGGGCACTATACTATAGGCTACTCTTAGTACTCTACTCTATCAAAACTCAGTATTCTAGCTAGATTCTAGATCTAGATTTTATCTCTAAACTAAACTACTTGACTTAGATCTAGACTAGTAGTCTAGACTCTAGCTAGACTAGAACTAGCTAGATCTAATCTAGATCAAGATTTTATTTTATTCTAAACTTAATTTAGCCTAATAATTTATAATAGTCTAGACTAGCTATATAAAGCTAAACATCTAGGCCCTAATAAATTCTAATAATAGGCCTAGGTATTCTCTTTTACTAGTTAAATTCATCTAACATATAGGGCCTAACTAGATGATTAGATCTAGATTAGAAAGTACTAGAAATCTAATCTAGTCTTTTAAATAAATCTGGATTTAGCTTGTTAGACTCTAGATCTATATACAATATACTTATATATAGGCAGTATAGGCCTAGATCTATCTGAATTTGAATTTCTAAATAGACCTAGCCTAGATGATCTAGATTCTAGATCTATTCTAGACTAGCTTGTAGATTGTAGATGAAGGCTGGATCTAGATCTAGATAATTTTAATTGTAGTTATTTTTGCCAGAGTTAAAAACAATTTTTAGTGCTGCACAATCTCGAATTTAGATCCACAATTTTTTTTAGAACTAGATCTAGCTAGTTCGAAGTAGATAGGCTATATAGCGCGATTATAGGCCTAGCTAGATTCTATGTCTTGTAATATTCATAATAATGTAGTATAGGCCTAGACCTCCATAGATGTTATGGTATGATAATTGGGTGAAAGTCTTGAGTTCATATCTCATTCTGGATTTGAGGCTGCTGGATGTCCTTGATTTCACCCAGCCCAGAATGGTGCCTGACTCATGTCCATGTTAAAGAAAATAAAGCTGCTGGGGACAGTGCTGACCACACCATACCTTTGTATGCCAAGGTTAACAGCACAAACTTCATCTGCCGTATTGATGGTTAGGAACTTGTCAACAAATGAAAATAGATTTTTTCGGCCTACCTCTAGGTAGTCCCATAAGTTAGTTTTGAAAATTTGATACCAAAACAAGCTAGAGTTAGCCAGTGAAGAGTAATAAAAAAAATTGCTTTCCATTGATAGCAGTGCAGAGTTATGACTGTAGTGGTAGCTTACATTGATATGAAAGAATATAGGTACTTATTTCCTTCACTACATTTAATAAATTTCATTTTTTTTCTAAATCTTAGCAGTTTCTTGGTGATTACAAAAGTTAAAGACAGAACCATTATTCGGTTTCAACCACTTTGAGTGCCACCAGTAGCCATACTGGCTTTGTCAAATCTCCAGTTTTGTCACAATATAAGACATTTTCACGTAGCTAGGACGTTACGGTTTTATGATGCATCGCATCAAAGACCTGTTGCTACGTTACTCCAAGTGCCATTCCTTCCATGAGCTGCCTGCCCTATACTGCAGCTATGCAACAAAATCAGTTGGACCTAAAGTGTTGGGGCCTGGAAGGTATTTTGGCACACAAGTTGCTGCTGAGCCTTTTTTAAATGGCAGCTCCTCCGCTTACATAGAGGATATGTTTGAGGCTTGGCAGAGAGATCCTAATAGTGTACATAAGGTAATTTGAATAATTATTTCTATGTTTGTTGTTGTACTAGCACATTGTTTCAAAACCTGCTTGTTTCTTATTTTCATGATTTAGGGTTTGGAATTTATAGGAACCCACAATTGTTTATTTTATTGCTGTAGTTGTTAATCATGAAATTCAGTTTTTTAACATGTTAAGATTATTGCTGGGTTATCTAATTTATCATTTACAATAAAATCATGAGAACACCAGTTGATACTTAAATAGATTGAATTTAAATAGTTCTATTTTCATAGACTGGAAAGGATTGCATTTCATCAGAGCGGTTTTAAATGATTCTAGTTTATTTAATTTGTACTAAATTTAGTGTGAACACTGGGTTTAAAAAATTTCAACCAATATGAATTATCCAACTTAACTTATTACTAATGATCAAATGATACACCAGTATGCCTTCTTAGCCACACAGTGTAGTCAAGTTGTTATGTAGAATGTGATAAGATAGTCGCCTACATACCCTCATGTTTTTTGATGATGTTTGACAAGATAAGCTGCCAGTTTGTTTATGCTACACTTGATAGATAATAGATTCAACATTCTTTGGCCTGGTGTACTTTTATTAACAGAAATTTATGGAGCTTAACAGTTTAATACCGTGCCTGCAGTGGGTTTTTTTCCATCTAGACATCTCTTAATGTCCTTAAAATGTCCATCAAGAGTTACTGTCCTTAAAATGTCCATTAAGAATTCAACAAGAGTCACTATTCCTAACTTGTCCATCAAGAACAAGAGTCACTATTCCTAACTTGTCCATCGAGAATTCAACAAGAGTCACTATTCCTAACTTGTCCATCAAGAACAAGAGTCACTATTCCTAACTTGTCCATCAAGAACAAGAGTCACTATTCCTAACTTGTCCATCAAGAACAAGAGTCACTATTCCTAACTTGTCCATCAAGAACAAGAGTCACTATTCCTAAATTGTCAAGAGTTACAGTCCTTAAATTGTCCATTTAGAGTTACTATTCCTAAACTGTCCATCAAGAGCTACTGTCCTTAAGGATCTTCCATTTATGACATCCACACAGACTTTTGTGAGGGGGGGGGGGTGTCCATGCCGACGTCCACATGTTGAACTTTATATCAAAGTTCTAACATTTTAAAACAAACTTAAAATTTGTATCCTGCATGTAAAAAGTGAAATTAAGACATGTTGAATAAAGATGCCCCTAGGTTCTACTTTGATATTTAGCCTAAAATAAACATTATTGAGTATACTAAATCCGTATATCAGTTATTAGGTACACAATACATGTTATTGAAATATTAAATAGGTAGTAAGTTTTGTGAGATCTACTAAATTTTTATGGACATCCACATGGGGATTTGTCGAAATCCATCATTTTTGTGGACGTCATAAATGGATGACCCTTAACTTGTCCATCAAGAGCTACTGTCCTTAAAATCTCCATCAAAAGTTATTGTTACAAAATTGTCCTTTTTGAATCTTGGCAGGAACTTACTGTTAGACCTCCACCACATAAGAATTGTTATAAAGTTTACAAACACAGTGTATTAAGTGTTAGCTGATGGAACCAAAGGTTGACTGTATCACTAAAGGTTGACTGTATCACTAAAGGTTGACTGTATCACTAAAGGTTGACTGACTGTATCACTAAAGGTTGACTGTAGTATCACTAAAGGTTGACTGTAGTATCACTAAAGGTTGACTGTATCACTAAAGGTTGACTGTATCACTAAAGGTTGACTGACTGTATCACTAAAGGTTGACTGTAGTATCACTAAAGGTTGACTGTATCACTAAAGGTTGACTGACTGTATCACTAAAGGTTGACTGTATCACTAAAGGTTGACTGTATCACTAAAGGTTGACTGTATCACTAAAGGTTGACTGACTGTATCACTAAAGGTTGACTGTAGTATCACTAAAGGTTGACTGTAGTATCACTAAAGGTTGACTGTATCACTAAAGGTTGACTGTATCACTAAAGGTTGACTGTATCACTAAAGGTTGACTGTATCACTAAAGGTTGACTGTATCACTAAAGGTTGACTGACTGTATCACTAAAGGTTGACTGTATCACTAAAGGTTGACTGACTGTATCACTAAAGGTTGACTGTATCACTAAAGGTTGACTGACTGTATCACTAAAGGTTGACTGTATCACTAAAGGTTGACTGACTGTATCACTAAAGGTTGACTGTATCGCTAAAGGTTGACTGTATCGCTAAAGGTTGACTGTATCGCTAAAGGTTGACTGACTGTATCACTAAAGGTTGACTGTATCGCTAAAGGTTGACTGACTGTATCACTAAAGGTTGACTGTATCGCTAAAGGTTGACTGTATCACTAAAGGTTGACTGTATCACTAAAGGTTGACTGTATCACTAAAGGTTGACTGACTGTATCACTAAAGGTTGACTGTATCACTAAAGGTTGACTAATATCACTAGTTGAAGGCACCTATGTATTTCTTGAAACATTTCTTTTTAAAACTACATTTAACTTATAGTCTAGTAAACCATCAGATCCATTTGTTGTTAAAACTACATTTAACTTATGCTTGTGTAAACCATCCGATCCATTTGTTTCTTCTGTCAGTCATGGGATGCCTTTTTTCGTCAAACTGCCAGAGGAGCACCACCAGGTCAGGCATATGCTGCCCCACCAACTCTAAGGGCCGCAATGATGTCCTCTGTTCCTGCTGCACTGCCCAGACATGCAGTGGAGCAGGGCATGCCTGTGGATGAGAAAACTATTGAAGACCATTTGTCTGTCCAGTCCATCATCCGCTCATACCAGGTATAGCTGCAGGTTTTGGCTGTGGGTGCATGCACTCATACCAGGTATAGCTGCAGGTTTTGGCTGTGGGTGCATGCACTCAATCAGGTATAGCTGCAGGTTTTGGCTGTGGGTGCATGCACTCATACCAGGTATAGCTGCAGGTTTTGGCTGTGGGTGCATGCACTCAACCAGGTATAGCTGCAGGTTTTGGCTGTGGGTGCATGCACTCAACCAGGTATAGCTGCAGGTTTTGGCTGTGGGTGCTTGCACTCAATCAGGTATAGCTGCAGGTTTTGGCTGTGGGTGCATGCACTCAACATATGCATTCATTTGAAATACTTCAAGTCAGTCATTTCAAGTATTTTTTTGTTCAATATAACATAGTGCTCTTAAGTTTGCAGATATTTTAACACCACTTGTGTTTTACTGTAATGTTTAATTTTTCAGCCATACCTGTGGTACTTCAAATTTCTTTTTTTTTCTCTTTTGACCAGTGTTTTTTTTTTTTAAATTAAATTATAGTTTACACTTGATCATTGCTACATGATTTGACTGCCAATGTTCCATAGCCCACCACATTTATGTTGATGATGTGAGCCATGCTTGTAAGTGGACCTTGGTGGTAGGTCAGCTCTACAGGCTGTGTACCATGGTGGAGGTTCCACAAGAGGGTCAGTCTGTTGCTAGATATGGCAGGTTCTAGGCACAATCATGGAGGCTTACAGTAGACATTTGATATAGAGTAGACATGTAAACACTCAGGTTCAAGACTAAATTCTCTGCCATGTCTATTGATGTAAACATGTCTTCATAGGGATGTTTTTATGACATACAAATGGTTACTATACTAATGATACAATAATATTAGCCTTTTATAACTATTTAATTGTTTTCAGTTTTCTCATGTCAATTAGTTGATTATAATGTTTATTGCCATTTGGCTTTTCTTGGTCCATTGTAACCATGGATGGTGTATATAGGTCAGAGGTCACAATGTCAGCCAGCTAGACCCATTGAGTATATTAGATGCTGATCTCAATAGTGAAACCCCCAAGGAGCTACTGCTAGATACTTACAAGCTGGGTAGGCGCTTCATGTTTTTTTCTTGACTGCATGAGGCGCTTTGTCCTGGTACCCTAGTGCCTTTATGTATGGAGTGTTTGGGTGGTGAGCTTGATTATGTCATTCATCGTGACATGTTTTCAACATTTTTCATCAAGGATGATTGCTACAATGCTACCTCCAATCAACATCATTTTATTTTAAAAACTGTATCTTGGTGACCTACGTTATATGCCAAGGTCCACTCTGTCTACCTACTGAAGCTGCTGGCCCAATGCTCACGCTTTCATTTATTATTCATCCAAACTGCTTGCGCTCTGGACTGATTGTTCCCTTGATTGGTGTAAGCTGCTGGTGCCTTAATAAATGGTTCACAGTTTCTGCTTTTTCCTCCTATGAAAAAGGGAAATTAAATAATTCACCATAACATGTAGCATTTGGAGTGGCTAGTTAGTGGTTGCTTACAGTCTAGTTAGTGATTGGTTAGATTTGGGTGAAGAGTGGCAGGTTGTATTTTGTACTTGTAATCTTATATATCAGTGGTGTCTAATTTCTCTCTCTCTAATTAGTCTATTTGAACACCCTGTCTTTACCCACAAAAATGTCATATCTTGCTTGAAACTATTACTGTAAAAAATGTGTTGTTGAAACTTGCAACAAAAGACTAGTTCCTAGCCCTCTTTGTATTGCCTAACTAGAAGCCAATGGCAAGAGAGCTGCCCATGGTTGTGTCTAGAACTGTTTAGCTGGCCCTGTAGCACAGTATCACATCCCTAGAGTATTTTCAGCAGGACCACCTGGCAAGACCACACCATAGGACTGCCAGTATTTTTATTTTACTATGCTTGCATATTTTATCCTCAATTTCTGGCTTTATAAGCGTGGGTTTGCCTGCGTTTTTCCGCTCTCATCCCTGTTTGCGTGCATCAGATTCGAGGACACCGCATGGCTCAGTTAGATCCTATAGGACTGCAGGTGCCCAACGAGGAGAAGGAGCTGCAAGTGCAGTATTACAACCTGGGTAAGTCAGCTGGGCAGCAGCTTTGTTGTCCCCAGTTTCCTGTGGTTAGACCTCCCTCTTCCTTAAGTTAGACAAGAAGCTGGGGCGCTCTAATCTTGGGTCAGTTCCTTGCTGCTGCCAATCAAATCTACTGATCATACACATCAGGGACTTACAACAATTATACCAGGCTCATGAACTACTAGTCCTGCCTAGCTGAGCATTTAACACAGAGGCATTTATGATGAGTAATCTAAAGGTTGATAGTGACATTCATCAATGCCGTGGACTGAGCCAATTCTTAATGCACAGTACAGAAAGGTCTCATCTCCTTAAGTCAGTCTTATGACCAGACTGTCCACCCCTAGCTTTATGGCTAGACTGAACCCCCCCCCCCCCCCTAAGCTTTATGGCCAAACTGAACCCCCCCCCCTAGATAAAATACCAGGCTGACCCCCTAGCTGTATGGTACCATGGCAGTAGATAAGATATTGGGTAGCATGTTTGGACGACGTCGGATGAGTTTGTTGTTAAAAATTTGGAGATGGGGTTGGGCGAAACAATGTGAACAATGTGGAGTCGACTGGACTAGGCAAGTGTACCTAACCCAGGGGGATCTCACGTCCCACGTGTGGTACCCTGACCCGCCACAGTGTAGGTGACGTCACGTCCATCACGTGCTACCAGTCAAGTGACTAGCGCGTGCTAGTCAGTGCGTGCAAACCGCCAATGCCACTCAACGCTTACGTCAAATATGCTCAAGAATGTCGTCTGCATGCTTGGTTGATCAAGCGTGTTAGTGATTAGGAATCTTGATCTGAACACGCCCTGTTGGTCAACTTTTGGTCTACCGTTATTGTCAGACACGGCGTGTGTTGTGAACTCCGTGTGTTGTAGGTCTGTAACAACACACCCACTAGATGGGACTTTGGTGTCAGATCCTTCAATAAAAACTCCGTGTGTTGTAGGTCGGTAACAACACACCCACTAGATGGTGGTGCCAGATCCTTCAATAAAAATTTGGTGTGTTGTAGGTCGGTAACAACACACCCACAAGATGGTGGTGTCAGATCCTTCAATAAAAACTCCGTGTGTTGTAGGTCGGTAACAACACACCCACTAGATGGTGGTGCCAGATCCTTCAATAAAAACTTGGTGTGTTGTAGGTCGGTAACAACACACCCACAAGATGGTGGTGTCAGATCCTTCAATAAAAACTCCGTGTGTTGTAGGTCTGTAACAACACACCCACTAGATGGTGGTGTCAGATCCTTCAATAAAAACTCCGTGTGTTGTAGGTCGGTAACAACACACCCACTAGATGGGACTTTGGTGCCAGATCCTTCAATAAAACTTACCGACGCATGGATGGTTCGATTCATAAATTCAAACTACTGAGGGGCTAGGTGACCTTGGCGCGTGCTATGTGACACATTAGACCTGATGACTGTACTGAGGGGCTAGGTGACCTTGGCGCTATGTGACACATTAGACCTGATGACTGTACTGAGGGGCTAGATGAACTTGGCGCGTGCTATGTGATAGACCTGATGACTGTACTGAGGGGCTAGGTGACCTTGGGGCAATGTGACACATTAAACCTAATGACCTTACGTTGGCCCAGCACTACCGGCTTCCCGAATGTACCTGACATCGTGTTCCAACCCACTGTAGCATGTCGCTATGGCGTGACGACAGCATGGATGGTGGCACTAGTAGCCCGTCGTGTTACCAGCCCACTGTAGCATGTCGCTATGGCGTGACGACAGCATGAATGGGGGCACAAGTAGCCCGTCGTGTTACCAGCCCACTGTAGCATGTCGCTATGGCGTGACGACAGCATGGATGGTGGCACACGTAGCCCGTCGTGTTACCAGCCCACTGTAGCATGTCGCTATGGCGTGACGACAGCATGGATGGTGGCACTAGTAGCCCGTCGTGTTACCAACCCACTGTAGCATGTCGCTATGGCGTGACAGCATGGATGTGGGCACACGTAGCCCGTCGTGTTACCAACCCACTGTAGCATGTCGCTATGGCGTGACGACAGCATGGATGGTGGCACTAGTAGCCCGTCGTGTTACCAACCCACTGTAGCATGTCGCTATGGCGTGACAGCATGGATGTGGGCACACGTAGCCCGTCGTGTTACCAACCCACTGTAGCATGTCGCTATGGCGTGACGACAGCATGGATGGTGGCACTAGTAGCCCGTCGTGTTACCAACCCACTGTAGCATGTCGCTATGGCGTGACGACAGCATGGATGGTGGCACTAGTAGCCCGTCGTGTTACCAACCCACTGTAGCATGTCGCTATGGCGTGACGACAGCATGGATGTGGGCACACGTAGCCCGTCGTGTTACCAGCCCCTAACATGTCGCTATGGCGTGACGACAGCATGGATGTGGGCACACGTAGCCCGTCGTGTTACCAGCCCACTGTAGCATGTCGCTATGGCGTGACGACAGCATGGATGGTGGCACTAGTAGCCCGTCGTGTTACCAACCCACTGTAGCATGTCGCTATGGCGTGACGACAGCATGGATGTGGGCACACGTAGCCCGTCGTGTTACCAGCCCCTAACATGTCGCTATGGCGTGACGACAGCATGGATGTGGGCACACGTAGCCCGTCGTGTTACCAGCCCACTGTAGCATGTCGCTATGGCGTGACGACAGCATGGATGGAGGCACACGTAGCCCGTCGTGTTACCAGCCCCTAACATGTCGCTATGGCGTGACGACAGCATGGATGGAGGCACACGTAGCCCAATACATTCGTTTGACATGCTTGTATTGGTGCTTATCAAACCCTCCCGAAGGAGGGGGGAGAGAGGAAGTAAAATAATGGTTACTTTTTTTTTTCATTTTTTGAATTCTTCCGTGTCCGTCCTCTTGGAGAAATGTCTGAAAGAAACTGCTTCCATCCCACCTGAACGATACAAGATCTTAGTTTTTGAGCCAATCAATGACGTCCCTTTCACTAGAGCCATTATCTTCCCGTTAACTGTAATCACGTGAGGTGTGCTATTATTAGAAGCAGCGTGTCACGTGCCGACAAGCGTGCTGTTGACTAGACCCACCTACCGAAGTTAAAACGAGAGCGGAGCGTACTTTTCCCGTCTATGCGCAACACCTCGTGTATCACCACCCCTCCCCATCCACCTCGCGGTACTTTAATGGGGGTTGGGACTTGTTTTGAAAACAACTTGGTCTCTGTGCACTGGTGTCTCGCCCCAAGGCGAGAATTGCTGCGGATATGGATTATGATAGTGATCAGGAATGGGACAGGAAAACCCAGACATCTAGAGATGGATGATGATAGAAATGGGGGGGGGGGGGAGTTATGACGTAAACACAAACATGGAAAGCTAGAGCTGATTTACATAAACAAAAATTAAAACATTAGGCTATCAGATGCCCAATGTTTTGTACCCTCTCTTAGATCCTGTTTTTTTTCACGTCAATCAACTTTTATTTGGGGGAGGGGGGTGTTGATTTTTACTACAGATTTTGAAATGTTTGCATGTTTTCCCCTATGAAGCCTTTTGTGTTGCTTTTGAAGTCAGTTGATTGAAATGGGGTTTTAATTGTCAAATTGACGCAGTCTCCTTTTGATTCACCATTCATAGTATTAATTTGGATATGCCTTTTTTTTTAAAATTTCACTCTACAATGTCATTAGTTGATCCACCCATTTCAAGCAATCTTCCCCCTGAGTAATGTAATTCTCTGCTGAAAATACCACCCTTATAGTGCATGATTTAGTGCAAGTAAGATGGAAGATGATGTTCACCATTATCTAAAGTAAACATTTGATTTGTGTGTATCCCTGCCACCATTTTCTGGCAATACACGTTTGTTAGTTGATGGGCCCTGTATAGTTGAGGTGGGCCCTGTATAGCTGAGGTGGGCCCTGTATAGCAGAGGTGGGCCCTGTATAGCAGAGGTGGGCCCTGTAGAGCTGAGGTGAGCCCTGTATAGCAGAGGTGGGCCCTGTAGAGTTGAGGTGGGCCCTGTAGAGCTGAGGTGGGCCCTGTAGAGCTGAGGTGGGCCCTGTATAGCAGAGGTGGGCCCTGTAGAGTTGAGGTGGGCCCTGTAGAGCTGAGGTGGGCCCTGTAGAGCTGAGGTGGGCCCTGTATAGCAGAGGTGGGCCCTGTAGAGTTGAGGTGGGCCCTGTAGAGCTGAGGTGGGCCCTGTAGAGCTGAGGTGGGCCCTGTAGAGCTGAGGTGGGCCCTGTATAGCTGAGGTGGGCCCTGTAGAGTTGAGGTGGGCCCTGTAGAGCTGAGGTGGGCCCTGTAGAGTTGAGGTGGGCCCTGTAGTGTTGAGGTGGGCCCTGTAGAGCTGAGGTGGGCCCTGTAGAGCTGAGGTGGGCCCTGTATAGTTTAGGTGGGCCCTGTAGAGCTGAGGTGGGACCTGTATAGCAGAGGTGGGCCCTGTAGAGCTGAGGTGGGCCCCTTAGAGTTGAGGTGGTCCCTGTATAGTTTAGGTGGGCCCTGTAGAGCTGAGGTGGGCCCTGTATAGCAGAGGTGGGCCCTGTATAGCAGAGGTGGGCCCTGTAGAGCTGAGGTGGGCCCTGTATAGCTGAGGTGGGCCCTGTAGAGTTGAGGTGGGCCCTGTAGAGTTGAGGTGGGCCCTGTAGAGTTGAGGTGGGACCTGTAGAGTTGAGGTGGGCCCTGTATAGCAGAGGTGGGCCCTGTATAGCAGAGGTGGGCCCTGTAGAGTTGAGGTGGGCCAGCACTTGTTCTTTAGATTGACTGTTCTTTCTATCTTGCTGAATGTGTGTTACATTTTATAAGCTAACGTTGAACAAAGATTTGAATAAAGGGTATCAGCAGTGTCTGTGTCTGCTAATTATAGCCTGTAATGTATTTTACAATGTATTTGTATGCAGGCACTAACAGAATTATAGAGTTGAACATTGTTCCCAATCAGGTGAAGGCGATCTTGACCGTGTATTCCGGCTCCCAAACACCACCTATATTGGAGGCAATGAGTCAGTCCTGCCCTTAAAGGAAATCATCCGGCGTCTGCAGGTCAGTAGATGTCCAGTTGTACTGACATCTGTTTGTATTTGTCTCAGTAGGTCAGTAGATGTCCAGTTGCACTGACATCTGTATTTGTCTCAGTAGGTCAGTAGATGTCCAGTTGTACTGACATCTGTATTTGTCTCAGTAGGTCAGTAGATGTCCAGTTGCACTGACATCTGTATTTGTCTCAGTAGGTCAGTAGATGTCCAGTTGTACTGACATCTGTATTTGTCTCAGTAGGTCAGTAGATGTCCAGTTGTACTGACATCTGTTTGTATTTGTCTCAGTAGGTCAGTAGATGTCCAGTTGTACTGACATCTGTATTTGTCTCAGTAGGTCAGTAGATGTCCAGTTGTACTGACATCTGTATTTGTCTCAGTAGGTCAGTAGATGTCCAGTTGTACTGACATCTGTATTTGTCTCAGTAGGTCAGTAGATGTCCAGTTGTACTGACATCTGTATTTGTCTCAGTAGGTCAGTAGATGTCCAGTTGTACTGACATCTGTATTTGTCTCAGTAGGTCAGTAAATGTCCATTTGTACTGACATCTGTTTGTATTTGTCTCAGTAGGTCAGTAGATGTCCAGTTGTACTGACATCTGTATTTGTCTCAGTAGGTCAGTAGATGTCCAGTTGTACTGACATCTGTATTTGTCTCAGTAGGTCAGTAGATGTCCAGTTGTACTGACATCTGTTTGTATTTGTCTCAGTAGGTCAGTAGATGTCCAGTTGTACTGACATCTGTTTGTATTTGTCTCAGTAGGTCAGTAGATGTCCATTTGTACTGACATCTGTTTGTATTTGTCTCAGTAGGTCAGTAGATGTCCAGTTGTACTGTTTTGACCCATTAGTCACATGATTATTTTATAAACTGTATAACATGGGAGGTAACTCCTAAGAAAAACGACTCTGTGTGGTGTGCCAGGCCAACTTGCCTTGGTTTCTTCTTTCATTGATTGGATTCTTCACTGGAGCTGGCATCTGTCCAACATGTAGCACTTGCAAGTTTTGCCCCACCATGTCTCCCCTGCACAACTTGTTGACACAATGTTTCTGATGTAGCAAGGCTCAAACATCATGCCACCTAGTACAGTTACAAGAGCTGTCTATAAACACTTACGTTTAAAATATAGTACAGTTACAAGAGCTTTCTATAACCCAATACATTTGAAATTTGGTAGTTACAAGAGCCGTCTATAACCCAATACATTTGAAATTTGGTAGTTACAAGAGCCGTCTATAAACCAATACATTTGAAATTTGGTAGTTACAAGAGCCGTTTATAAACCAATACATTTGAAATTTGGTAGTTACAAGAGCCGTCTATAAACCAATACATTTGAAATTTAGTACAGTTACAAGAGCCGTCTATAAACCAATACATTTGAAATTTAGTACAGTTACAAGAGCCAATACATTTGAAATTTGGTAGTTACAAGAGCTGTCTATAAACACATACGTTTATTATTTTTTACATTTACAAGAGCCGTCTATAAACCAATAGATTTGAAACCATAACCATGTCTCATATCAAGTTGGGGTATAATGGGAATAATGCTTGAGTTTGTAAACCAGTTCTGTGGGCACTTATTGATCTGCCCAGGATAGGTTGAAATCAATCAATCAGTTCACAGGTGGCCAGGGTTCTACACCTTTCAAACAGCCCCTTATCTTAGCTGGGTCAGGTTTTTGTTGGCTAGACTTGTGTATCTTATGTCAGCTGTCAGGTTTTTGTTGGCTAGACTTGTGTATCTTATGTCAGCTGTCAGGTTTTTGTAGGCTAGACTTGTTTATGTCAGCTGTCAGGTTTTTGTTGGACTTGTGTATCTTATGTCAGCTGTCAGGTTTTTGTTGGATTTGTGTCTTATGTCAGCTGTCAGGTTTTTGTTGGATTTGTGTCTTATGTCAGCTGTCAGGTTTTTGTAGGCTAGACTTGTGTATCTTATGTCAGCTGTCAGGTTTTTGTTGGCTAGACTTGGGTATCTTATGTCAGCTGTCAGGTTTTTGTTGGATTTGTGTCTTATGTCAGCTGTCAGGTTTTTGTAGGCTAGACTTGTGTATCTTATGTCAGCTGTCAGGTTTTTGTTGGCTAGACTTGTGTATCTTATGTCAGCTGTCAGGTTTTTGTTGGATTTGTGTCTTATGTCAGCTGTCAGGTTTTTGTAGGCTAGACTTGTGTATCTTATGTCAGCTGTCAGGTTTTTGTTGGCTAGACTTGGGTATCTTATGTCAGCTGTCAGGTTTTTGTTGGATTTGTGTCTTATGTCAGCTGTCAGGTTTTTGTAGGCTAGACTTGTGTATCTTATGTCAGCTGTCAGGTTTTTGTTGGATTTGTGTCTTATGTCAGCTGTCAGGTTTTTGTAGGCTAGACTTGTGTATCTTATGTCAGCTGTCAGGTTTTTGTTGGCTAGACTTGTGTATCTTATGTCAGCTGTCAGGTTTTTGTTGGATTTGTGTCTTATGTCAGCTGTCAGGTTTTTGTTGGATTTGTGTCTTATGTCAGCTGTCAGGTTTTTGTAGGCTAGACTTGTGTATCTTATGTCAGCTGTCAGGTTTTTGTAGGCTAGACTTGTGTATCTTATGTCAGCTGTCAGGTTTTTGTTGGCTAGACTTGGGTATCTTATGTCAGCTGTCAGGTTTTTGTTGGATTTGTGTCTTATGTCAGCTGTCAGGTTTTTGTAGGCTAGACTTGTGTATCTTATGTCAGCTGTCAGGTTTTTGTTGGATTTGTGTCTTATGTCAGCTGTCAGGTTTTTGTAGGCTAGACTTGTGTATCTTATGTCAGCTGTCAGGTTTTTGTTGGCTAGACTTGTGTATCTTATGTCAGCTGTCAGGTTTTTGTTGGATTTGTGTCTTATGTCAGCTGTCAGGTTTTTGTTGGATTTGTGTCTTATGTCAGCTGTCAGGTTTTTGTAGGCTAGACTTGTGTATCTTATGTCAGCTGTCAGGTTTTTGTAGGCCAGACTTGTGTATCTTATGTCAGCTGTCAGGTTTTTGTAGGCTAGACTTGTGTATCTTATGTCAGCTGTCAGGTTTTTGTTGGATTTGTGTCTTATGTCAGCTGTCAGGTTTTTGTTGGATTTGTGTATCTTATGTACACTTGTGGTACACCTGCGGTACACCTGCGGTGCACCTGTGGTACACCTGCGGTACACCTGCGGTACACCTGCGGTGCACCTGTGGTACACCTGCGGTACACCTGCGGTGCACCTGTGGTACACCTGCGGTACACCTGCGGTGCACCTGTGGTACACCTGCGGTGCACCTGTTGTACACCTGTTGTACACCTGGGGTACACCTGTGGTACACCTGTGGTACACCTGTGGTACACTTGTGGTGGTACACCTGCTGTACACTTGTGGTACACCAATGGTTGGCATGCTACCACAAAACTAGTGTCCAAGTCCCAAGCTGGTTTTTACCACGTTTTCTTTAACTTGCTTTCTCTGTGTGTTTATTTATTTATTTATTTGTTTGTCTTTCCAATCCAATCTTGCGATCGAAATTTCTGGCACTTCCCAGTTAGCTAGCGCGCTGAAATTTTCAGGGAAGCTTTCTTTTGGATGACCATTGAATATTCAATTGTTATTATTACTAAATTGATCAATGGAAACATTTTATTGAGCATTTTAGACCGCTATATAATCTATATATATAATTCTCCTCTGCTAGCCATTACAAAAAAAAACCAGCGACGCGTACCTCGCGCGCAGTGAAGCGAACGATCACATGTCGCCACAGGCTTAGGGGCAGAGAATTTAGCTTGAACCGAGTTTAAACTTACAGGAGGTAGGCCAGTTTGGGGGAGACGATATGGTCGAGTGGTTGGGCACACGATTGCTATCCCACTCGACACGGGTTCAAATCTATGTGTTCTAGTCAGTAACGTATTCAAACAACGTGTTTTTTACGAGTTGTCTTTTTACGAGTTGTCTTTTTACGAGTTGTCTTTTTACGAGTTGTCTTTTTACGAGTTGTCTTCGTTTACCCCAAAAAAGTGAAAAGATAAAATCGATAGCAAGATTTTAATGCAAACAAACAGACAAAGACTAAAAAGTAGAAAATAATAATCATTAAAAAAGTTTTTAAAAACCAACGTTTTCTGATTGAACTAAAAAGTAGAAAATAAATGCTATAGGCCCTACATCACAATAATGCAAGCGATCACTCTACTATAAGCGAGCAAAAACGTGGGGCGCCGTGATTTTCTTACAGTTTCTAATACTGTTGACTCTCTACAAGCTCCCTAATAAAAGTCAATAGTATTATCTAATCAATAGTAATATAACTTTTACTTCGGCGCCCCACGTTTTTCATCGCTTATAGTAGAGTGATCGCTTGCATTATTGTGATGTAGGGCCTATAGCATTTATTTTCTACTTTTTAGTTCAATCAGAAAACGTTGGTTTTTAAAAACTTTTTTAATGATTATTATTATGGGTTTAGGGAGCTTAGGGTTTTATGTGGGTTTAGGGAGCTTAGGGTCTTATGTGGGTTCAGGAAGCTCAGGGTTTTATTTGGGTTCAGGGAGCTAAGGGTTTTATTTGGGTTCAGGGAGCTAAGGGTTTTATTTGGGTTCAGGGAGCTAAGGGTTTGATGTGGGTTCAGAAAAAGGGTTTTGATGTGGGTTCAGGAAGTTAAGGGTTTTGATGTGGGTTCAGGAAGTTAAGGGTTTTGATGTGGGTTCAGGAAGTTAAGGGTTTTGATGTGGGTTCAGGAAGTTAAGGGTTTTGATGTGGGTTCAGGAAGTTAAGGGTTTTGATGTGGGTTCAGGAAGTTAAGGGTTTTGATGTGGGTTCAGGAAGTTAAGGGTTTAGATGTGGGTTCAGGGAGTTAAGGGTTTTGATGTTGGTTCAGGAAGTTAAGGGTTTTGATGTGGGTTCAGGAAGTTAAGGGTTTTGATGTGGGTTCAGGAAGTTAAGGGTTTTGATGTGGGTTCAGGAAGTTAAGGGTTTTGATGTGGGTTCAGAAAAAGGGTTTTGATGTGGGTTCAGGAAGTTAAGGGTTTTGATGTGGGTTCAGGAAGTTAAGGGTTTTGATGTGGGTTCAGGAAGTTAAGGGTTTTGATGTGGGTTCAGGAAGTTAAGGGTTTTGATGTGGGTTCAGGAAGTTAAGGGTTTTGATGTGGGTTCAGGAAGTTAAGGGTTTTGATGTGGGTTCAGGAAGTTAAGGGTTTTGATGTGGGTTCAGGGAGTTAAGGGTTTTAATGTTGGTTCAGGAAGTTAAGGGTTTTGATGTGGGTTCAGGAAGTTAAGGGTTTTGATGTGGGTTCAGGAAGTTAAGGGTTTTGATGTGGGTTCAGGAAGTTAAGGGTTTTGATGTGGGTTCAGGGAGCTTGGGGTTTGATCTGGAAGTGGAAGTGTTGATATTGTTTTAGGAAATGATAAACTTTCTTCCATCCATAATGTGTACTATCCTATTGGTGTATTGATCAACCAAACTTTCTTCCATCCAGAATGTGTACTGTCCTATTGGTGTATTGATCAAGCAAACTTTCTTCCATCCAGAATGTGTACTGTCCTATTGGTGTATTGATCAAGCAAACTTTCTTCCATCCAGAATGTGTACTGTCCTATTGGTGTATTGATCAAGCAAACTTTCTTCCATCCAGAATGTGTACTGTCCTATTGGTGTATTGATCAACCAAACTTTCTTCCATCCAGAATGTGTACTGTCCTATTGGTGTATTGATCAAGCAAACTTTCTTCCATCCAGAATGTGTACTGTCCTATTGGTGTATTGATCAAGCAAACTTTCTTCCATCCAGAATGTGTACTGTCCTATTGGTGTATTGATCAACCAAACTTTCTTCCATCCAGAATGTGTACTGTCCTATTGGTGTATTGATCAAGCAAACTTTCTTCCATTCAGAATGTGTACTGTCCTATTGGTGTATTGATCAAGCAAACTTTCTTCCATCCAGAATGTGTACTGTCGTTCCATTGGGTTATTGATGAACCAAACTTTCTTCCATCCAGAATGTGTACTGTCCTATTGGTGTATTGATGAACCAAACTTTCTTCCATCCAGAATGTGTACTGTCGTTCCATTGGGTTATTGATCAAGCAAACTTTCTTCCATCCAGAATGTGTACTGTCGTTCCATTGGGTTATTGATGAACCAAACTTTCTTCCATCCAGAATGTGTACTGTCGTTCCATTGGGTTATTGATGAACCAAACTTTCTTCCATCCAGAATGTGTACTGTCGTTCCATTGGGTTATTGATGAACCAAACTTTCTTCCATCCAGAATGTGTACTGTCGTTCCATTGGTGTATTGATCAACCAAACTTTCTTCCATCCAGAATGTGTACTGTCCTATTGGTGTATTGATGAACCAAACTTTCTTCCATCCAGAATGTGTACTGTCGTTCCATTGGGTTATTGATGAACCAAACTTTCTTCCATCCAGAATGTGTACTGTCCCATTGGTGTATTGATCAACCAAACTTTCTTCCATCCAGAATGTGTACTGTCGTTCCATTGGTGTATTGATCAACCAAACTTTCTTCCATCCAGAATGTGTACTGTCCCATTGGTGTATTGATCAACCAAACTTTCTTCCATCCAGAATGTGTACTGTCGTTCCATTGGTGTTGAGTTCATGTTCATCAATGACCTCCAGCAGACAGACTGGATCAGGCGCAGATTTGAAACTCCTGGCATCATGCAGTTCAGTACAGAGGAGCGCCGGTTGATTTTGGCAAGACTGATCAGATCAACAAGGTCTGGTTTAAATGTTGAGTTAGAAGAGATTGTAATAACTGTAATTGTGGCTGTCTATTACAGAAACTTGTTAGATTGTAATAACTGTAATTGTGGCTGTCTATTACAGAAACTTGTTAGATTGTAATAACTGTAATTGTGGCTGTCTATTACAGAAACTTGTTAGATTGTAATAACTGTAATTGTGGCTGTCTATTACAGAAACTTGTTAGATTGTAATAACTGTAATTGTGGCTGTCTATTACAGAAACTTGTTAGATTGTAATAACTGTAATTGTGGCTGTCTATTACAGAAACTTGTTAGAATCTGGAGGAGAAGAAGATTATAGACATTATAATTATTGTAAACAAAATTTGCTTATTCACTTGAATCTTTAATAGCTGCAGGTAGCAGGCAAGAATTGCTTCAATCCACTTGGTTTGATTGTGCTTTCTATTTCAAATGTTTAGATTTGAAGAGTTTTTGGCCCGCAAGTGGTCGTCAGAAAAACGTTTTGGTCTGGAAGGCTGTGAAGTTCTCATCCCTGCTATGAAGACCATCATTGACGCTTCCAGTGCTCTTGGAGTGGACAGCTTCATTATTGGAATGCCACACAGAGGCCGGCTCAATGTCCTGGCCAACGTGTGTCGCAAGCCACTGGAGAAAATCATTTGCCAGTTTGACTCTAAGCTGGAAGCGGCAGATGAGGGGTCTGGGGACGTCAAGTACCACCTGGGCATGTCACACGAGCGCCTGAACCGCGTCACCAACAAGAACATCAAGATTGCTGTTGTAGCTAATCCCTCCCATCTGGAGGCTGTTGATCCAGTGGTGCAAGGCAAGGCTAGGGCTGAGATGTTCTACCGGGGAGATAATGATGGCAAAAAGGTACCATTTCAGCCCCCAGCACTTACCTACTCAATTAGTACTATACATCCTCTCCACTCCACACACTCTGTAATTTAGCACTTGTAGTTGGATATTTTACCACTTATAGTCTAGTTCTGTTGTAGTTGGATATTTACCCCCCCCCCCCCCTTTGTAATCTAGCTCTGTTGGATTACCCTTCTTTGTATTGTAGTTCTGTTGGATATTTCCCCCCCCCCCCCCCTTTTTTTAAAATGTAGTTCTGTTGGATATTCACCCCCCCCCCTTTTTTTTAAAATGTAGTTCTGTTGGATATTCACCCCCCCCCCCTTTTTTTAAATGTAGTTCTGTTGATTATTTACCCCCCCTTTTAATGCAGTTCTAACTTAATTGGATATTTAAACACTCACATCCCTACTGTGTAAAGAAAGGTTTGCTTAAAAATAATGATTCCCTCTGACACTAATGTAGGTGATGCCAATGCTGCTTCACGGGGATGCTGCTTTTGCTGGGCAAGGCATTGTGTATGAATGTCTTCACTTGTCAGACTTACCAGCGTTCACCACCCACGGCACCATCCATCTTGTGGTCAACAACCAGGTAACCACGGCACCATCCATCTTGTGGTCAATAACCAGGTAACCATGGCACCATCTTGTGGTCAATAACCAGGTAACCATGGCACCATCTTGTGGTCAATAACCAGGTAACCATGGCACCATCTTGTGGTCAATAACCAGGTAACCATGGCACCATCTTGTGGTCAATAACCAGGTAACCATGGCACCATCTTGTGGTCAATAACCAGGTAACCATGGCACCATCTTGTGGTCAATAACCAGGTAACCATGGCACCATCTTGTGGTCAATAACCAGGTAACCATGGCACCATCTTGTGGTCAATAACCAGGTAACCATGGCACCATCTTGTGGTCAATAACCAGGTAACCATGGCACCATCTTGTGGTCAATAACCAGGTAACCATGGCACCATCTTGTGGTCAATAACCAGGTAACCATGGCACCATCTTGTGGTCAATAACCAGGTAACCATGGCACCATCTTGTGGTCAATAACCAGGTAACCATGGCACCATCTTGTGGTCAATAACCAGGTAACCATGGCACCATCTTGTGGTCAATAACCAGGTAACCATGGCACCATCTTGTGGTCAATAACCAGGTAACCATGGCACCATCCATCTTGTGGTCAATAACCAGGTAACCATGGCACCATCTTGTGGTCAATAACCAGGTAACCATGGCACCATCTTGTGGTCAATAACCAGGTAACCATGGCACCATCTTGTGGTCAATAACCAGGTAACCATGGCACCATCTTGTGGTCAATAACCAGGTAACCATGGCACCATCTTGTGGTCAATAACCAGGTAACCATGGCACCATCTTGTGGTCAATAACCAGGTAACCATGGCACCATCTTGTGGTCAATAACCAGGTAACCATGGCACCATCTTGTGGTCAATAACCAGGTAACCATGGCACCATCTTGTGGTCAATAACCAGGTAACCATGGCACCATCTTGTGGTCAATAACCAGGTAACCATGGCACCATCTTGTGGTCAATAACCAGGTAAACATGGCACCATCTTGTGGTCAATAACCAGGTAACCATGGCACCATCCATCTTGTGGTCAATAACCAGGTAACCATGGCACCATCTTGTGGTCAATAACCAGGTAACCATGGCACCATCTTGTGGTCAATAACCAGGTAACCATGGCACCATCTTGTGGTCAATAACCAGGTAACCATGGCACCATCTTGTGGTCAATAACCAGGTAACCATGGCACCATCTTGTGGTCAATAACCAGGTAACCATGGCACCATCTTGTGGTCAATAACCAGGTAACCATGGCACCATCTTGTGGTCAATAACCAGGTAACCATGGCACCATCTTGTGGTCAATAACCAGGTAACCATGGCACCATCTTGTGGTCAATAACCAGGTAACCATGGCACCATCTTGTGGTCAATAACCAGGTAACCATGGCACCATCTTGTGGTCAATAACCAGGTAACCATGGCACCATCTTGTGGTCAATAACCAGGTAACCATGGCACCATCTTGTGGTCAATAACCAGGTAACCATGGCACCATCTTGTGGTCAACAACCAGGTAACCATGGCACCATCTTGTGGTCAATAACCAGGTAACCATGGCACCATCCATCTTGTGGTCAATAACCAGGTAACCATGGCACCATCTTGTGGTCAATAACCAGGTAACCATGGCACCATCTTGTGGTCAATAACCAGGTAACCATGGCACCATCTTGTGGTCAATAACCAGGTAACCATGGCACCATCTTGTGGTCAATAACCAGGTAACCATGGCACCATCTTGTGGTCAATAACCAGGTAACCATGGCACCATCCATCTTGTGGTCAATAACCAGGTAACCATGGCACCATCTTGTGGTCAATAACCAGGTAACCATGGCACCATCCATCTTGTGGTCAATAACCAGGTAACCATGGCACCATCTTGTGGTCAATAACCAGGTAACCATGGCACCATCCATCTTGTGGTCAATAACCAGGTAACCATGGCACCATCTTGTGGTCAATAACCAGGTAACCATGGCACCATCCATCTTGTGGTCAATAACCAGGTAACCATGGCACCATCTTGTGGTCAATAACCAGGTAACCATGGCACCATCTTGTGGTCAATAACCAGGTAACCATGGCACCATCTTGTGGTCAACAACCAGGTAACCATGGCACCATCTTGTGGTCAATAACCAGGTAACCATGGCACCATCCATCTTGTGGTCAATAACCAGGTAACCATGGCACCATCTTGTGGTCAATAACCAGGTAACCATGGCACCATCTTGTGGTCAATAACCAGGTAACCATGGCACCATCTTGTGGTCAATAACCAGGTAACCATGGCACCATCTTGTGGTCAATAACCAGGTAACCATGGCACCATCTTGTGGTCAATAACCAGGTAACCATGGCACCATCTTGTGGTCAATAACCAGGTAACCATGGCACCATCTTGTGGTCAATAACCAGGTAACCATGGCACCATCTTGTGGTCAATAACCAGGTAACCATGGCACCATCTTGTGGTCAATAACCAGGTAACCATGGCACCATCTTGTGGTCAATAAACAGGTAACCATGGCACCATCTTGTGGTCAATAACCAGGTAACCATGGCACCATCTTGTGGTCAATAACCAGGTAACCATGGCACCATCTTGTTGTCAATAACCAGGTAACCATGGCACCATCTTGTGGTCAATAACCAGGTAACCATGGCACCATCTTGTGGTCAATAACCAGGTAACCATGGCACCATCTTGTGGTCAATAACCAGGTAACCATGGCACCATCTTGTGGTCAATAACCAGGTAACCATGGCACCATTCATCTTGTGGTCAATAACCAGGTAACCATGGCACCATCTTGTGGTCAATAACCAGGTAACCATGGCACCATCTTGTGGTCAATAACCAGGTGACCATGGCACCATTCATCTTGTGGTCAATAACCAGGTAACCATGGCACCATTCATCTTGTGGTCAATAACCAGGTAACCATGGCACCATCTTGTGGTCAATAACCAGGTAACCATGGCACCATCTTGTGGTCAATAACCAGGTAACCATGGCACCATCTTGTGGTCAATAACCAGGTAACCATGGCACCATCTTGTGGTCAATAACCAGGTAACCATGGCACCATCTTGTGGTCAATAACCAGGTAACCATGGCACCATCTTGTGGTCAATAACCAGGTAACCATGGCACCATCTTGTGGTCAATAACCAGGTGACCATGGCACCATCTTGTGGTCAATAACCAGGTGACCATGGCACCATTCATCTTGTGGTCACTTTATAAGTTACACATTTATAACAAAGTCTGGTTTAACTTCACTTTAGATGAGTAGTTTTATGCCAATTAGATTCTATCACATTTAGATGACTAATTTCATGCCAATATGACCTTTGACCCTATGACATTGAGATGCTAATATGACCCTATGACATTAAGATGCCAATATGACCCTTGACCCTATGTCATTGAGTTGCCAATATGATAACTCCACAACGTTTGACTTTCAGATTGGCTTCACTACTGACCCGCGATCATCCCGCTCCTCCCCCTACTGTACTGATGTAGCCCGTGTGGTCAATGCCCCAATTTTCCATGTGAATGCAGATGACCCCGAGGCTGTGAACTACGTGTGTAAAGTGGCAGCTGATTGGAGGGCTACATTTGGCAAGGACGTTGTCATTGACTTGGTAACTTTTTTAGTGTATCCATCCATTGCTGCTACTGTATGTGGCTTGTCTCACTACAATGTATCCATCCATTGCTGCTACTGTATGTGGCTTGTCTCACCACAATGTATCCATCCATTGCTACTACTGTATGTGGCTTGTCTCACCACAATATATCCATCCATTGCTGCTACTGTATGTGGCTTGTCTCACTACAATGTGTCCATCCATTGCTACTGTATGTGGCTTGTCTCACTACAATGTATCCATCCATTGCTGCTGTATGTGGCTTGTCTCACCACAATGTATCCATCCATTGCTGCTGTATGTGGCTTGTCTCACCACAATGTATCCATCCATTGCTGCTACTGTATGTGGCTTGTCTCACTACAATGTATCCATCCATTGCTGCTACTGTATGTGGCTTGTCTCACCACAATGTATCCATCCATTGCTGCTACTGTATGTGGCTTGTCTCACCACAATGTATCCATCCATTGCTGCTACTGTATGTGGCTTGTCTCACTACAATGTATCCATCCATTGCTGCTACTGTATGTGGCTTGTCTCACCACAATGTGTCCATCCATTGCTGCTACTGTGTGTGGCTTGTCTCACTATAATTAAGTCTGCCTGCTTACCTATTCTTAAGATGCTTGATATTTGATCCTTATGAGTTTGATCCTATACTACCAGGTGTGCTATAGAAGATTTGGGCACAATGAAATTGATGAGCCCATGTTCACTCAACCTCTCATGTACAAAAAGATTGCTAAACAACCCACTGTGTTGGCCAAATATGCAGAGCACCTCATCAACAACAACATTGTTACACAGGAAGAATATGAGGTAAAGATCAAACACTTATGTACACTGTCTTTGTGAAGTAAGTTTAACCGTTCACAGGCGGGGCATTAAATGATTCTACATACTGCACCACCAGGCAAACAAGATGCCTTTTTCAACCATGACAGTTTATGGTTGATGTTTTTTTTTGTGACAGTTGTTAGTGAGCATGTCAATTTATGGTGCAGCTAAAAGTCTGTCTGAATCTACCTGTCAATGTATGGTGGGCTATAGATATGGTGTATGTAAAAGCAAGTCTGTCTGAATCTACCTGTCAATGTATGGTGGGCTATAGATATGGTGCAGCTAAAAGTCTGTCTGAATCTACCTGTCAATGTATGGTGGGCTATAGATATGGTGTATGTAAAAGTCTCTGAATCTACCTGTCAATGTATGGTGGGCTATAGATATGGTGTAGGTAAAAGTCTGTCTGAATCTACCTGTCAATGTATGGTGGGCTATAGATATGGTGTAGGTAAAAGTCTGTCTGAATCTACCTGTCAATGTATGGTGGGCTATAGATATGGTGTAGGTAAAAGTCTGCCTGAATCTACCTGTCAATGTATGGTGGGCTATAGATATGGTGTAGCTAAAAGTCTGCCTGAATCTACCTGTCAGTGTATGGTGGGCTATAGATATGGTGTATGTAAAAGTCTCTGAATCTACCTGTCAATGTATGGTGGGCTATAGATATGGTGTAGCTAAAAGTCTGCCTGAATCTACCAGTCAATGTATGGTGGGCTATAGATATGGTGTATGTAAAAGTCTGCCTGAATCTACCTGTCAATGTATGGTGGGCTATAGATATGGTGTATGTAAAAGTCTCTGAATCTACCTGTCAATGTATGGTGGGCTATAGATATGGTGTAGCTAAAAGTCTGCCTGAATCTACCTGTCAATGTATGGTGGGCTATAGATATGGTGTATGTAAAAGTGTCTGAATCTACCTGTCAATGTATGGTGGGCTATAGATATGGTTTATGTAAAAGTCTCTGAATCTACCTGTCAATGTATGGTGGGCTATAGATATGGTGTAGCTAAAAGTCTGTCTGAATCTACCTGTCAATGTATGGTGGGCTATAGATATGGTTTATGTAAAAGTCTCTGAATCTACCTGTCAATGTATGGTGGGCTATAGATATGGTGCAGCTAAAAGTCTGTCTGAATCTACCTGTCAATGTATGGTGGGCTATAGATATGGTGTATGTAAAAGTCTCTGAATCTACCTGTCAATTTATGGTGGGCTATAGATATGGTGTATGTAAAAGTGTATGAATCTACCTGTCAATGTATGGTGGGCTATAGATATGGTGCAGCTAAAAGTCTGCCTGAATCTACCTGTCAATGTATGGTGGGCTATAGATATGGTGTATGTAAAAGTCTCTGAATCTACCTGTCAATGCATGGTGGGCTATAGATATGGTGTATGTAAAAGTGTCTGAATCTACCTGTCAATGTATGGTGGGCTATAGATATGGTGCAGCTAAAAGTCTGTCTGAATCTACCTGTCTGTGTATGGTGGGCTATAGATATGGTGTATGTAAAAGTGTCTGAATCTACCTGTCAATGCATGGTGGGCTATAGATATGGTGCAGCTAAAAGTCTGTCTGAATCTACCTGTCAATGTATGGTGGGCTATAGATATGGTGTATGTAAAAGTCTCTGAATCTACCTGTCAATGTATGGTGGGCTATAGATATGGTGTAGCTAAAAGTCTGCCTGAATCTACCAGTCAATGTATGGTGGGCTATAGATATGGTGTATGTAAAAGTCTCTGAATCTACCTGTCAATGTATGGTGGGCTATAGATATGGTGTATGTAAAAGTCTCTGAATCTACCTGTCAATGCATGGTGGGCTATAGATATGGTGTAGGTAAAAGTCTGTCTGAATCTACCTGTCAATGTATGGTGGGCTATAGATATGGTGCAGCTAAAAGTCTGTCTGAATCTACCTGTCAATGTATGGTGGGCTATAGATATGGTGTATGTAAAAGTCTCTGAATCTACCTGTCAATGTATGGTGGGCTATAGATATGGTGTATGTAAAAGTGTCTGAATCTACCTGTCAATGTATGGTGGGCTATAGATATGGTGTATGTAAAAGTCTGTCTGAATCTACCTGTCAATGTATGGTGGGCTATAGATATGGTGTAGCTAAAAGTCTGCCTGAATCTACCTGTCAGTGTATGGTGGGCTATAGATATGGGGTATGTAAAAGTCTGTCTGAATCTACCTGTCAATGTATGGTGGGCTATAGATATGGTGTATGTAAAAGTGTCTGAATCTACCTGTCAGTGTATGGTGGGCTATAGATATGGTGTAGCTAAAAGTCTGCCTGAATCTACCTGTCAATGTATGGTGGGCTATAGATATGGTGCAGCTAAAAGTCTGTCTGAATCTACCTGTCAATGTATGGTGGGCTATAGATATGGTGTATGTAAAAGTCTCTGAATCTACCTGTCAATGTATGGTGGGCTATAGATATGGTGTAGGTAAAAGTCTGTCTGAATCTACCTGTCAATGTATGGTGGGCTATAGATATGGTGTATGTAAAAGTGTCTGAATCTACCTGTCAATGTATGGTGGGCTATAGATATGGTGTATGTAAAAGTCTCTGAATCTACCTGTCAATTTATGGTGGGCTATAGATATGGTGTATGTAAAAGTGTCTGAATCTACCTGTCAATGTATGGTGGGCTATAGATATGGTGTATGTAAAAGCAACTCTGCCTGAATCTACCTGTCAATGTATGGTGGGCTATAGATATGGTGTATGTAAAAGTCTCTGAATCTACCTGTCAATGTATGGTGGGCTATAGATATGGTGTATGTAAAAGCAAGTCTGCCTGAATCTACCAGTCAATGTATGGTGGGCTATAGATATGGTGTATGTAAAAGTCTCTGAATCTACCTGTCAATGTATGGTGGGCTATAGATATGATGTATGTAAAAGTGTCTGAATCTACCTGTCAATGTATGGTGGGCTATAGATATGGTGCAGCTAAAAGTCTGTCTGAATCTACCTGTCAATGTATGGTGGGCTATAGATATGGTTTATGTAAAAGTCTCTGAATCTACCTGTCAATGTATGGTGGGCTATAGATATGGTGTATGTAAAAGCAAGTCTGCCTGAATCTACCTGTCAATATATGGTGGGCTATAGATATGGTGTATGTAAAAGTCTGTATGAATCTACCTGTCAATGTATGGTGGGCTATAGATATGGTGTAGCTAAAAGTCTGCCTGAATCTACCTGTCAATGTATGGTGGGCTATAGATATGGTTGTAGCTAAAAGTCTGCCTGAATCTACCTGTCAATGTATGGTGGGCTATAGATATGGTGTATGTAAAAGTCTGCCTGAATCTACCTGTCAATGTATGGTGGGCTATAGATATGGTGTAGGTAAAAGTCTGCCTGAATCTACCTGTCAATGTATGGTGGGCTATAGATATGGGGTATGTAAAAGTCTGTCTGAATCTACCTGTCAATGTATGGTGGGCTATAGATATGGTGTATGTAAAAGTCTCTGAATCTACCTGTCAATGTATGGTGGGCTATAGATATGGTGTATGTAAAAGTCTGTCTGAATCTACCTGTCAATGTATGGTGGGCTATAGATATGGTGCAGCTAAAAGTCTGTCTGAATCTACCTGTCAATGTATGGTGGGCTATAGATATGGTGTATGTAAAAGTCTCTGAATCTACCTGTCAATGTATGGTGGGCTATAGATATGGTGTAGGTAAAAGTCTTGTCTGAATCTACCTGTCAATGTATGGTGGGCTATAGATATGGTGTAGCTAAAAGTCTGCCTGAATCTACCTGTCAGTGTATGGTGGGCTATAGATATGGTGTATGTAAAAGTCTGTCTGAATCTACCTGTCAATGTATGGTGGGCTATAGATATGGTGTATGTAAAAGTGTCTGAATCTACCTGTCAATGTATGGTGGGCTATAGATATGGTGTATGTAAAAGTCTCTGAATCTACCTGTCAATGCATGGTGGGCTATAGATATGGTGTATGTAAAAGTGTCTGAATCTACCTGTCAATGTATGGTGGGCTATAGATATGGTGTATGTAAAAGCAACTCTGCCTGAATCTACCTGTCAATGTATGGTGGGCTATAGATATGGTGTATGTAAAAGTCTCTGAATCTACCTGTCAATGTATGGTGGGCTATAGATATGGTGTATGTAAAAGCAAGTCTGCCTGAATCTACCAGTCAATGTATGGTGGGCTATAGATATGGTGTATGTAAAAGTCTCTGAATCTACCTGTCAATGTATGGTGGGCTATAGATATGATGTATGTAAAAGTGTCTGAATCTACCTGTCAATGTATGGTGGGCTATAGATATGGTGCAGCTAAAAGTCTGTCTGAATCTACCTGTCAATGTATGGTGGGCTATAGATATGGTTTATGTAAAAGTCTCTGAATCTACCTGTCAATGTATGGTGGGCTATAGATATGGTGTATGTAAAAGCAAGTCTGCCTGAATCTACCTGTCAATATATGGTGGGCTATAGATATGGTGTATGTAAAAGTCTGTATGAATCTACCTGTCAATGTATGGTGGGCTATAGATATGGTGTAGCTAAAAGTCTGCCTGAATCTACCTGTCAATGTATGGTGGGCTATAGATATGGTTGTAGCTAAAAGTCTGCCTGAATCTACCTGTCAATGTATGGTGGGCTATAGATATGGTGTATGTAAAAGTCTGCCTGAATCTACCTGTCAATGTATGGTGGGCTATAGATATGGTGTAGGTAAAAGTCTGCCTGAATCTACCTGTCAATGTATGGTGGGCTATAGATATGGGGTATGTAAAAGTCTGTCTGAATCTACCTGTCAATGTATGGTGGGCTATAGATATGGTGTATGTAAAAGTCTCTGAATCTACCTGTCAATGTATGGTGGGCTATAGATATGGTGTATGTAAAAGTCTGTCTGAATCTACCTGTCAATGTATGGTGGGCTATAGATATGGTGCAGCTAAAAGTC